ATGCTGATCTTTGCTTGGGGTCCGTGGCTCGCTGGTGGCTCGTCATAACATTAAAAAAGAATAAGCGGGTCCTCTTCTTTAGAAGCACTGCCAAATGTCAAATGGAACCGAGCAGAGAACCGAGTTCGCTTCCATTGCATCAGGGAGCTTGGGCCGATTGCGATGGCTGTGACTGCGGCGGCGGCAGGCAATGGATCATGAACCACGGCAACGAAGACTTACGACGACCACAACATCTGCTGCAGCAGCTCATCCAATCTTCCATCCGACCGACGTGAGACGGTCCGGGCCCTTCCATTTGACAGAAACGACCTCCGCGGAGAGCGACTGGGTTGGACGATGCTTGATGTTTTTCTTCTCTCTTAATGCCCATAACCCCCACCAACGTGGCACCGGGATGATGCTTCCATCGTTCCAGAACCACAAGCAATCCTTCTGCCCATCCACAGGCTACAGCCCGCGGAAGTCAACATCCAGGGAGGGAGCTGGAGCCCAGGGAAGTAAGGAGCTTGGGAGTTTTTTTTCTTCTGTTGATTCTGCAATTCTGCGAAAGGGGGGGGGGGGGGGGGGGGGGGGGGGAGGGAACCCTGAGTCCAAATGGAAATATCTCTTTGCCCCGTCAGGTTGATTGTTCGGGGGCACCGCAGTGGGCGATGAGGCGATGGCTGGGAGCCGCGTTGTAACATTGCAATCAACTGAAGCGAGTTTGTATGGGTTCCATTCTCTTCATTCCTGGATCCCGACATCTACGCCGAAAGTTTGAGGGGGGGAGGCAAGCTCGCATTCTGCAGCATTTGCACCAGCCGCAACAGACATGCATCCTGAAGCTTGCAGACGCGCATTAAGGGAGGTGCATACGTAGGCTGGCTAAGGTAGCTGGAGTTGCATGCATTTGATTTGATGCATCGTGTGCTTCCTGCCGCCGATCGACTGCCGTGACTGTCTCTCACCTGGAAAGCAGGCGCACCTGCCCTCAGACTAAGGCAGGTCGACACCTTCCTTTGGCCATCTGCCATCCCGTCGCGCCTTCCGCCATGTCGCCTCACTGTTTCCTCGCGCTTTCCTCGGTCCACGGCAGGCCTAACCTGCAAACTCTCTAGCGCCTCAATGACCGTCAACTTCACACCCAGAGCACCCACCCGTCGTCATCTTCGCCATCACCAACACCAACACCACCATCATTGCACATGCACTCTGCGGAGACCATCGTCAGTCCCATCCACAGCTCCTGACAGAACTCTGCGTTATTGGATTCTCGAACGCCGGCAGCAATGCACAAGGCTGGCGACCCACGGTCACCTGGCGGCCGACAGCAAAGCTGAAAAACAGTCCCACTGGGAATGAACCCACGATCTACCATGATCGCGATCCTGTTCGCCATCCCACGCGTCTTGCACAAACACCCGCACACTTTATCCCTGGCACACCCGGACATTGAGACACTGAGGCTCTCGGCCGCGTTGCACTGAACCGTCCCTCCTGCGAACAGACACTCGCCGATCACCAGTGCAACTACCACCGGCCTTCCTCCCGAGCAGCGACAGCCACGCGCATATGAAGGCGTGCCAGAAGCAGTCGAACTACACATGGCCGCCACTACCTCCCGGTGCCATTGCAAGCCACCTCAACAGAAACCCTAGCGCGATGGCGGCGGCGTGGGTGCTTTAATCACGGCGGAAAACCACCGAAGAGGCCGAGCATAACCACCGACAACGCCAGCCAGTGACGACAGATGTATTTCACAACCTGTCCAAAGAAACAGAATACCTTTGCGAGGATGGGAAACTACGAGAGTCCGAGGCGCGAAAACAACTGTCGAGCAGCACTAATCAAAGACCAAACGGGCCCAAATACGAGAACCGCCGCCAATCCATTCCTGGAGCAGCACCCTTCGCAGAACCGGCGTGTCTTGGCAGCGGCATCCGCTGTCGGGTGATGCGCGACACTGCTCGACGACTGCTGCTCCATGCTCTCCAATCGCAGACAATTGTCCACGGAACCTTGATCGATCCCGTCCACAGTCACTGGCAGCAGCCTGCCCAGCGTTTCCTCCTTCGGAATCAGGACGCATTCACGCTCTGAGGGAATTCATTCGGCGCGGATTGGGAACCCCCACTCTCTGTCGACCCACCCGCCACGGCTGACGTCACCTGGTCCTCCCATGTTCCGCATTCGAAGACGGTAAAACTGGTCCTCTGCCCGTTTTTCTTTCCCCTGCCAAGACTCCAAGGACCCGGCGCTGAGCCCCTAATCATGTTCGGCCCACCGACCCCCGAACCTTCTCATCCACTGTTTAGATGCTCCGATGCCGTCACTGTCCTCCGTCCCTGCTTCTGGCGCGTCCACAACAGTCCGACGACATCTTTAGGCACGGAGTCGCAGTCTGTCCGACTCCTCGACGCTCCCCCAGATTCTCTGGGCCTGGACTCTCTTCTCCGCGGGTCCAACGCGAATCTCGGAGAACCAGATCCATTGTGAATGCAAGTGTATCACTCACAGATGGACGACAACCAAGATGACAGCAGCGATCAGATGCAGGGAGCCCGAGGGTATCATGAACTGCTGATTCATGCTCGATGCCAATGTTGCACGACGCAAGCCGTCTGCAGTCGCATTTTCGGCCGTTTCAACCACCACCATTTTCAAGACCAACATCAATCAGTCCGTGAAACAAGACCTTCTCACGCCTCACCACCCATCCATTTCCAAGAAACGCCTTCTAGCGCCTCCAGAATCCGACCCTCCTGAAAATCTTTCTTTTCGTGCTCCTCTAGCTGCCTTAGCGCGTGAGATATTCCGACCCTCACACCCCAAAACCACCACGTCACCGACGGCTTACCATCTTGGGCGTCCCGCTCGTCCGTCGGCCGGCTGCTTTGAGATCTTTTGCCACCACTGTCGCGAGTGACATTCCGGCGGCAAGGCACTGTACCACCCTCGCCAGGCGTGGGAGGTATGCTGGATGCAGGTACCAAACCTGACTTTGCCTTCTGCGCCGACGAATTTTTCTCTCGCCCGAGTTCCCAAAATAGCATCCAAGAGGTGTGCTAGAAAATTGAAGTTGGTTTCGATAGAATAGAAAGGCAACTTGGCCAACGTGTGAGCCTCAGTTCATCGCAACTCAACCGTGGCGATGCAGCAAGGCATCTTGGCAACGAACACAGGCCAAGAGTCTCCAATTCAGGTCACCAACCTGCGGAGACGACGACACATCAGCAAATGTCGTCATGGCCGAGCTGCGAAGCAGCGCGCGAAACCACTCAGATGCACCAGAGGCATTCCAGCTCTCATGTCAAGCTTTGTGATCCCAGGCGCGAACTGCGCACATCTCCCGAATAGTCATCCCACGCCCGCCTTCAACTCCCAGCGTAGCGCTGATCGGCACGAGTCCCAACTTGACAACTCAACAGCAAGCAGCTTCCCTGGCCCAAGCGGCCGTCAGGGCAGGGAATCAATCGTCGGCAACCGCCACATTCCCGCCCGCTTTTTCACAGTCCTTTTCTCACGGCCGATCTTCAAGCCCTCGCAACCCTGACCTGACACCCATGGTTTAGTTCTCAGAATAAGATGAGAGAACTGAACCAGACCGCCTAAGCCCTGTTCTACTCGCCGAGCTTCCCGGGCGAATGAGAAGACGCGGCCCAGGGCCCGCGGTGTCTTGCAATCCCAACATCACGCCGCATTCCCGGGCGTACCTTGCCCTACCAACGCGCCCTGTCGCTCTGTGAACCCACCGGGGAACAAGCAGCCGCCCGTCTAGCGCAAGTGGCTGAACAAGCCCAATCGAGAGCCGCGCGATGTTTCTTCACATGCGCAGGGTCACCTAAAACCCCTAAACCAAGAAGTCCACGTACGACCGTGTGCGCGATAACGGGAATGAGAAAGGGGAACCAAAAAAAAAAGGGGGATCCAATGAAGAGAGTTTCCTTATCTCTGCGTCTGCCCGCAACAGAGCACACTATGCATCATGCTGTCTCGGGCCATGCACCCTTGGATCTACTCTAGGTGAGGTTACTAAGCTTGCGCCATACGGACACTTTGTGATACTTTTGACTACAACCACCATTTGCTCTTGGCGAGACGGTAGCTGTTCCCAGATATGCAATGCGACGTTCACGTGCAGATGCAAGGCAGATTCGAACCATGACTCGGGAAAACGCAATGCACATTTCAATAGGGATATACATAATTCCGATTCCGAAATACAGCCAGAATCTCAGGGGTTAGGAGCAGTAAGCCAAGTATGTTTGAGATGCTGAATGATTGGACCAACGCCAGATTGGACCTCCTCGTAGCCAACCTCACTATCCGCACAACGTCGCAGACGAGCGAGGCTGAGCCTCCCGTCAGTCCCTCCTCGTCTCGGAGCTCAACAAGTCTCCGGCCGGTGCCCAGCCAGCGGCGGTGCAATCGCTGGCTGTCGTGAATGAGGTTCCACGGGGTGAGCCAGCCCACTTCCGATCTCCAGTGCCCTCCGCTGCGGCGCTGACAGCAAACGAGCGAACCCACCGACCGTGAGTGACCAGGGAGGCCCAACACGCAAGTCTCGAAACCCGGTTTCTGATCCCTCCTTGCCCTCTATTTACCGAGATCACGCTGGAGAAAGGGCAGTGTGGGCTTCATTTCCTTCAACCACAGACCACCCAAATTCGACTTCCGTCTGCGCGACTGCATTTCGTGTTGTTAATGAATTTGGACTTTTACAATGGCGATAGGAGCCGCAACAACAGCAAAATGGAAGACGACGACCATGGCGAATAGAAGAGTGTAAACAAGTTCACGGGATAGACAGGAGTTTCTCTTTAACAAAGCTTTTTTGTAAAATCTGGTCTGTCTATTGGATGTGCCGTTGTTTGTCTGTTGTTTTTCCATCCTGGCAGCGATCCGCGCAAACAACCCCATGTCTACTATTCTTGGGGCCTTTTTTGTCCTTTCCTGTGATGAACACCTTACACCGCCCTTTGCCATGGTCATTTACAATGGTACGATGAAAGCAAAATCTAGAACCCATCCTCGAAAGCGCCATAGGTCTCAGTCACAGTGACCTCCTGGAGATCTGTCTTTTTGACCCAGGTCTTGCTTGCAGGCGCAATGGTTTTGCCACCAAGCTTCATGACCATCGGCCGTGCCATACTCTCTACCCATCGCACCTTCTCGACCCAAAGCTTCTTCTTCTCAACCCAGACCTTCTAGGACAGGTTGATGCTCCAGTCAGCACCGATACGGGCGGCAACCCTGCCGACGAAGGCGTACGCGGCGCGGCCCTCCTCGGCGGCGTGGTACTGCACGGGGACGGACCAGGTCTTGCCCTCCGACTCCACGTTGACCTCCTTGACGTTCCAGCCAGCCGGAGCTCCGACGATGACAATCTTGTCAACGTAGACCTCCTTCATGGCCTTGAGCCAGTTGCCAGGCTTGACAGACTTGGCGTCACGGCCCTCGGCGTCGACGGAGGTGAGCGTGCTGCCGGAGAGCTTGAACTTGCGGTAGATGTACTGGCCCTTCTCGAACTCGAACGAGTCACCATCGTCGACGTAGAGCTCGCCCTCGGCGTCACCGTTCTTGCCGACGCTGATGACAAGGGTGTAGTCATCGAAGCGCATCAGCTGGGTGGAGCGACGGGGACGGTCGCGGCGGGGGAAGATGTGGCCTCCGCGCATGAGTACAGCAACCTGGTCGATTGCGACAGACTTGGTGATGTACTCGCCCTTCTTGGTGTCGAGCTTCTCGTAGTTGAAGTAGTCGTAGTAGACCTCGTCGTCAGGGATGAAGATGCTGACAACCTCTTGGTCCTTCTCGACAACAGGCTTGTGAAGAAGACCGGTGCTGCCGACGAAGACCTGGTCATCGATGGCAAAGCCGGCCTCGACATCGGGATGGGTCCAGAACATCGGACGGACGATGGGGCTGCCATCGCGGTTGGCGTGGAAGAAAGCAGTGTACCAGGAGGGCATCAGAGTGTAGCGGAGGCGAAGGGCAGAGGTGAGGATGCTCCTGAAAGGCTCCGCGAGCATATAGGGCTCGCGGCGGCGGGCGTCAATGTGGGCGTGGCCACGGAAGAATGGGTAGAAGGCGCCGGCCTGGTACCAACGGGCCATCAGATCGGGCTCGGGGTTGCCGAAGAAACCGCCGACATCAGCACCGGCGAAGGGGAAGCCGGAGATACCCTGGTTGAGAATCATGGGAACGGAAGCAGCGAGGTGGTCCCACGAGGCCTGGTTGTCACCTGTCCACATCGCACCAAGTCTCTGAGAGCCGGCGTAGAACGAACGGGTCAAGACGAAAGGACGACGGAGCTCGCCCTTCTTGCGAGTGATGAGGGCCTCGAAGGTGGCGTTGTGGAAAGTCATGCCGTTGATGTTGTGGACGTCACGATGCTCCCAGTTGCCATAGTGGATGTTGTCCTTGGGCATAGTAACCTCAGGGCCGTTGAAGACGGAAGGCTCGTTCATGTCGTTCCAGATGAAGGTATTCTCCATGGTGCCGGGGAACTTGTCGTAGTTGTAGAGCTGGCTCCACCACTCGAGGGCCTTGGGGTTAAAGCAGTCGACCCAGTTGGAGGATCCAGGCCAGCACCAGCCCTCGAAAGTGTTGCCGTCCTTGTTCTTGACGGTAAGGCCCTTGTCGTTCATCTCCTTGTTGATGTTGTAGCCACCCTCGTTCTTGATGTGAGGATCAATAATGACAACGAGCTTGCGGCCGTGTTCATCGAGAGCCTTGCCCATGTCGATGGGGTTCTTGAACATGTCGGGGTCCCAGGTGAAGTACTTCTTGCCGTCGGTGTACTCAATGTCGAGCCAGATGACGTCGTACGGAATCTTGAACTTATCAAACTTGCGGTCGACATCCTTGACATCGTCATCGGAGATGTAGTTCCAGCGACACTGGTGGTAGCCGATGGCAAACTCCTGAGGCATAGCAGTGGTGCCGGTCAACTCGCCGTAGGTCCTTGAGATGTCCTTGGGGGTAGGTCCAAGGAAGACAAAGACGTCCAGGATGCCGGACTCGGAGATCCAGTGGGTGCGAGTGTCGGTCTTGGGACCGGCTCCCAGGGCCTGGGGGTTAGCCTTGGTCTCGCCCTTGGTGATGTCAATCCAGGTCTCGGCACCGTTGAGCCAGAAGACACCAACGGTGGAGTCCTTGCGGTGCGCCTGCATAAGAGGGATGGCGCCGTAGAGTGTCATCGGGCTGTCCAGGACGTACTCGAAGACATCGGAGTTGTACAGTCTGTAGGGCTCGTTGTGGTTGCCCTCGCCGCCACGAGTCTGCTTCAGGGACAGGGGACCAGTGTGCTCAGGGATACCGTAGACGTGGTCATATCCGTGGAAGGTGATGTCGAGGGCGACACTCTCGGGGCCGCGGGGCTTGGAGTCAGTGTTTCCTCCAAAAGTCTCATCCCACCAGGTGCTCTCGTCCTCGGTCTTGACGTCTGTGGTCACGGCCTCCTCGCCCTCCTTCTTCTCCTCGGCGGGCTTGTCGACCTTGGGGCGCCAGTGTTCCATGTTGAACAGACCTTGGTCGTTGAACTTGATGTGGGACGAGCCATCGCGCTTGAAGTCGACACCGAATGGCGAGAACTTGATGACGGCCTCGAACTTGGCGTCGGGACCATACTGAATGGTGATCTGTTCCTTATCTTGGTAGGCAACCTTGGCCTCCTTGTCCAAGTTCAAGCCGCCAACAATGACGTGCTTCTCGGCCTCATTGTAACGCTCCTTCTTGACGATGCTGTTGTGTCGCAGCTCGATCTCGCCCTTCTGGCGCTTCTCTTCGTCGACGCTCACGCGAGCGGTACCCGACTCGTGGAAAGAGACGGTGATGGGGAGGTTTACGGTGTCCTTCGCATCATTGATCGTCTTAACGATGACGGCCTGCAGCTGGCCATCGGCGAACTTGGCAGACTCGGGAGCGACGTTGTAAGGAGTCGCCCAGTTGGGACCCAGGGCGTCGGCATTATCAGCGTACTCGCGGTTGCGCTTGCAGAAGCCAGACTGGTGGCACTTTTTGAAATCGTTTTCCTTTACCATGACTGCGGTTGTCCATCAGCAAATGGTTTCATCAACAAAGAAGTTGAAGTAGTAAAAGGGTCATGGCGTCACAAAATCATGGCGTCACCGAATTCCTTACCGGCAGGCTGGATCATGCAGCTGAACGCCGCCAGCAGACCAAGGTAAGTTGTCCATTTGCAGGACAGCTTGCCTGTCGACCCCATGGCGAGGGGATCTGTGTCTGATTGTTCGTATAAAAGACGTGGGGGGGAGTTTAGGGAGAAGGTAGAGAATCACGAGTTAAACATGAGAGCAGAAGAAGCCAGGCCTTCTTTGTTGCGCTCTCTCGTGGATGAATTCGAGTACTTGGGGGTGAGGGGACGGAATGTCGTTGACGGGCGGCCACTTGCCAATTGTGAGACGGCCGAAGTTCAACAGCTGTCCCCTTGGTAGCTCCCTTTCAGGTTTAGCGCTGTTCCTGGAGCTGCAAAGGAGTGGGAACAGGGGTTAGTCGAAAACTCCGCATACTCGAATATGGAGGCACGGCTCTTCTTTGTTGCATATTTCTTTCTGATGTCACCTACCCCGCCATGGGTGTCGAGGACGGGGAGATGCTGCAGTCCATCAGGGTTCAATCCGCCAGACACGTGTGTTTTTCAATGGGACAACCGTCGTATCTGTTTCACGATGGATCTGATATCTGTCGATTCTCGTGTTGTTCATGTGTTCAATTGGATACTGCTTGATATGCTAGTCAGGCGGTGAGGGGTCTCCAGATATTGAGATAGACGGCTGATGCAGCTAAGAGGGGCCAAGCACCGTGTGTGTCTGGACTTGGAACTCAGCGCACTGTCTCAGTGTCGGGTGCCTTGCATCAGGTCGCATCACCTATCAGTCGGTCGGGAGGGTAGAGCGAGGTAAACAAACAGAAAACAACTCTCCGGTCCGGCGTGGACGCCATCAATTGCTTGTCAATTCAAACATCAAGGCATTCCTCTAATGAGAACTCCCGATCTTGATTCGAATCGTCTCCATTCTCGCCATCCCTCCGGTATGTTCCTCCAATGGCTCCTCCACGCCCTCCACCCACAGCTCTGGAAGGTTGCTTTGCTGAGCTGTCCAAATTTAGGCGGTCTGCCACAGTGCCCAGCAACAGTGCACTGCTGCCGTGTCACAAGCTTGATTCACTGTGCGCCTCAGCTAGCTTAGCGCGTCAAGCACCAATCGCAGCCACGCAGCCGCCATGGCCCAACCCGGACCCCACCACATGCCGCAGGACGAAGACCCCGCCTCGAAGCACAAGAAGCAACAGCATAACAATGCAGGCCCAGATGCACATCCCGGCGGCCGTAATGCACGCACAACTGGCGGCAGTCCCTTCCCTGAGTGGGCAGACATCCGCAGGAGCATCGAACAGCTGCCCCCACCAACTTTCATAATTCTCGCTGCCCTCTTCGGCTTGTACATAATTTTTTCCTCCAGCCAACAAAACCAGCGGTCAGCAGCAGACCTTTCTTCTCCCGTCGTCCCCTCCGTTGTCACAACCACAATCTACCAACAACAACCCTCTTCTATACCCGAAGTCGTCGTTGATCACTCGCCCAAGATGTCTACCGAGCAGACGTAAGTGCTTTTTTCTTGTCTGATGATGCCTTCGCATCGGCTAGCTGCACTGCTAAGCCGTCTGTCTTTGTCTCCATGCCCTGCCGCTACCCTGAAAATTACCCCGCCATCGTGGGAGGTTTCGGGCGGGCAAAGAGGGGCACACACCCAAACTTGAAGAATTTGAGCTGACCTCGAGATAGCTTCATTGCCATCAAGCCTGATGGCGTTCAGGTACGCTTTATCACCATGGCACGCTGCCAATTGACGGCAGCAGAAAGCTAACCCTCCATCAGCGCGGCCTCATCGGCCCCATCGTCTCTCGCTTCGAGAGCCGTGGGTAAGTCAGCACATCAACGCCCTAGAATCTCATACGTGGCAACCAGTTCTGACTCCTTTCCTACAGCTTCAAGCTCGTCGCCATCAAGCTTGTCACCCCCGGCAAGGACCACCTCGAGGCTCACTGTTCGTACCCGCCGCTTTCCGCCGTCACCACGCATAGCTAACCGCCATTAGACGCTGACCTCAAGGAGAAGCCCTTCTTCCCCGGTCTGATCAACTACATGCTCTCTGGCCCCATCTGCGCCATGATCTGGGAGGGCCGTGACGCCGTCAAGACCGGCCGCAGTAAGTCCCGCATCACTCTCCTGCTCCTGCAACCTCCTGCTAATCGCTCTCCCCTCCAGCCATCCTCGGTGCCACCAACCCCCTTGCCTCTGCCCCCGGCACCATCCGTGGCGACTTCGCCATTGACGTCGGCCGCAACGTCTGCCACGGCTCCGACTCCGTCGAGAACGCCAAGAAGGAGATTGCCCTCTGGTTCAAGGACGGCGAGGCCGTTCAGTGGAAGACTGCCCAGTTCGACTGGATCTACGAGAAGCCTTAGATTTCTCATCTACCTCCGAACAAGCTCTAGATGTCCCAAACGCTCTCCCACACGGAGGGTGTGTAGGCCACATGCCGTCACGTCGATAGGTTGATACAGAAAAGTCTTCAAAGGTCAAAAATATAAACAAACAGGCACTAAAAAGCCACACCCAACATAATGCGCTCCAATTCTTGATTGATAGTGATATTTTGTTTCTACTTGTTGGATCTAAACAGCCCTCTCGCCCTGCCCATCACTCCAGCAAACCACGGTGTCGCCCATACACTAACCAGTATCCTCGCCGGCAGAAGCGCCTTCGTGATGCCCCACGCAATTGCAACCTCCACCACAACCTTGTACTTCCCATCCTCTTTCCACCTCTGCAGCACATCCTGCGTGCTCCTCGCGCTCTCCTCCGTCGGCCTTGTCGTCCTGTACTCGAAGCTCCCAGTGACCGCGCCCTCCTCCTTCGCCCACCTCTTCTCCACCTCGCGCGTCTCGAGCCGCCCCGCGCTCGCGTCCAGCTCCCCCGTCATCGTGCCGCGGTCCTCCGCCCCGAACCCGAACCAGCCCTTGCGGCTGAAGTAGCGCTCCGCCTTGCCGACGCCGTCGCGCACGTAGTCGGCCCAGTGCCCCGTGACGTACTCCAGCGGGAGCGTGTCCGTGTAGTGGAAGAGGCCGAAGAGGCCGAGCAGCGGGACGAGGGCGGTGATCTCGTGGAGGATGAGGAAGGCGACGATGTGCGAGAGGGGCGCTTTGCGGAGGCCGGTGGTGTAGCGCTGGAAGCGCGAGGGGACGCGGTCGAGCAGGCGTTCGGCGGCACGAGAGGTTGACGAGGTTGAGGTGTTGCGGAGGGGTGTGGTGGTGGTGCGTGGTGGGGTGCGGAGGCGTCGGAGGACGGATGGGCGCACCTGGGCGAGGGCGCGGGAGGCGAGCATTGTTCTCGGCTTGAGGGGGGTTGACGGAGGTGTGAGAGGGAGTGTGTGATGTTGAGCTTTGCGGAGGAAGGCCCTGGGAGCTGTGGAAGGAAGCTTGGACTTTCGTGCTGACGGCACCGGTGTGCTACTGTGGGTCCTGATCGGCTTTCGTTCACCGAGGTGTGGTGACTGAGTGTCACCGAGTGGACCATAGCGGACGAAGACCAAGTGTCAAGTAGGCCGAATGCGTTGAATAGACCTGATCAATGAGACATTAGATTGTCATGTATCTGTTCATCCGCTTTGTTAGATAGGAGCTTCTCTGCTTTTAGGATGCATTGATCCCCAACTAGAGTAATTTATTGTGTGGTAGTGGCCTGCTTCAATTTTCGGCCTTCATACACGGAGTAAGTAGGATGATGGCCTTGCCTCTGTTTACAAAATGAAGGCAAATCTAGAACTTTGACCTTATTACTCACATTCAAACAATTTTCCGGCCCAATCCGTGTACTTGCTACCTCATGCTAACTTTGTCCATGCTGGCCCTATTATCATTCAACTCCCTTCAACATAACCCGTCCTTCCTTTTTGGGAAGTTACTGTCAGGAATTGATCGGATTATTTCTTCTTGATATTCGTGTCCGGCCTTTTAAGGACATTGCCTGGTCTTTCCTTGCGACACTCGATAGTATCATAGGGTGGTCCTCTCAGTGATCGATCGGGGACCTTGTCGGTCTGCAAAAAATTGATTAATCAAGTGAAGAGAACAATGAGAGACAGATTTAACACAAACATCATTTAGATAAAATTCTAACATGCCATCTCTCGTCTCTATCACCTCTCTCTTGGGGCAATGCTTGTTGGTACAGCTGTGGGGTTTGATAGTGCTTTCCGACGTGGTGCTCTTGTCGCTCCAACTCCCAAGAGCTGCAAATGCGTCGATGATCGATCGTGACTTTGGTTCTCTTTCTTCGCAACAAGTTCTGCAAAACGTTTGCTCTTCGTAGTTTCGTTTGCCGTCAGGCTCAGCGGTGCCTTTAGGTACATCAGAAATGACACGAGACTTTGACCATATCGTATTCAGCCTTTTTGTCTCGGTGACATCAGCTTCTGATGTGCTAGCGCAGCTATCAAGACTGGACGTCAGCGCGGTGTGAGCTGCTTTGCGTTTCCAAGGCATCGAGCCTTTCGGCGGTATCTCTCGTGCGACCATTTCCGGCTGTTTCTGAACTCGAGCAAGAGACGCAGCTGCGGACTGCAAACATGCACCAATTGCGACACCAGCCATTCCTGCAGCAAAAGTTTGGTTTTGACTGGAGCCGTAATAATTGTTGATTGTATAGCTCGTGACCTCGTTTGGCGGAATCCTTGACGGGTTTGTGGGTGTAGGATGAGCTGGATCAGTGACGTGGTGCGCAACTGTTTGGACACTCTCAAATGAACCTCGATCGCTATTGAAGTTAGAAGAGGTTGCTCTCCGCCCTCTTGAAGTTGCCCGTGAACAGCATGAACTATCAGATAACACCTGGTCTTGTACATCAAGACCCGAAAATTCAAGGGGAAGTGAGTTGCTCGTAAAAGGGGTTTTCACCCAGATCCAGGATTCGCTGGATGCGGAATTGATCGATGCTCTGGGAGAAGTGGGCGATTCAGAGCCTTCAATGGAAGCGGCGGCGAGGAGTGCCCCTTTTGCCAAGTCTGGTGTCAGAGCAGACTCTTTGTTGATTGAGTCTGCCTTAGAGATTGCGTGCATCGCGTTGTATATCAACCTGGCTTCACCCAGGCTGTTTTTGCCTCCTGCACCAAAGAAAGATGTCTCGCGTAATGACTGAGGGAGTTTGGTCAGCTTAATTGGTGGCACAAAACAGCTTGCAGTCTCTAAAAGCTGTTACCAAGATTGTCACGGCGTTAAAAGGTGGCAGGTTCTGGAAGAGACTAGTCGGCACGTCCGCTGCTCCAGACGCTATCCCATTCTCAGTGGCCTGGGCCGAAAAGAAGTTCACTCTGACCTCGTTCGGTCTGGGCTCAATGCTTTGAAGTACCATTTGCACCAGATCATTTTCATGGTCTACTGATACACCCTGGCGTAGACTGCTGATGTCCAAATCAAGACCGCCATCATCGAACACGGATCCGAGAAATTGTCTAATCATGGTTTTGTGAAAGAGACTTGTTTCTTCATTGGCCAGCTTCACGTATGTGATTGACACGACTCTTCTTAAGGCTTGAATGTGTCGTGGGACCGCAGAATTCGCCTGAGACAAAGCGTCGAACGTGGACGCAAGCATTAAAGCCTGGCCATGGATTTAGAGAATAAGTTCAAGCTTATGAGAAGAATCAACAGGAGCCTAGAAGAGCATCAACATACCTTAGTCAATACCAACCCTCCAAAACATGTCGTGATGATTGAGAGATGTTTGTCTTCAATTGGCTATCGAATTCACGAATTATCGGTTGACGAAAGATTCTTCCAAGTACTCATGCGCTTTACACTTACGAGATCCTCTAATGCAGATAGGAAGGAATACGCCTGCGTATTGAAACGGAAGCCGTCATCGAGAGACTCAGGCTTGCATCTATAGCGAAATACTGGAGCCTGTTGAACCTCTGGGCGAACCGCCCACTTTACATCCCCACCGAACTCTTGGTGGTCCTCATGGATTAGAATGAGCCTATTGATATCAGTCAGTAAATCCTCTTGCCAAGGGCTCTTCTCCAAGCGTAATTACATACATCGGTATGCTAGCCCCATGCTCGCTGGCCTCGCTCAAGGGTATGGCTCCTATGCGTTCCATTGTCCGTGGTTGGCGCATTCGAAATTACTGGCTACGGCAATACGAAGTGGGCAGTCAATGTGACGATTCACTATCCAGAAAGGATTTGGATTAAGGGAAGAAGATTCATTTGAGCAGGCTACAGAGCGGGGGAGGTTCTTCGCTGGGTCTGACATCCGTGTCTGACATGCGTCGCACAACCCCCTTTTATTGGTCATATCATAGCCCCTTGTAGTGTGGCGCCCAATGGGGGGGGGGCGGTGGGGGGTAACTTAAACACTAGCCTGTCTGAATATCGATGTGAGGCTATCCAGGAATCGCGGCGTTTTCAGCTAGAGTAATCTTCATTTCTCATCCAAGATCTCACGTTGTATGTAGGCTTTATATACACACAAGAAGTAATCTGCAACGCTGCATCACTGCGCCTACAGCTTCTGTGAGATGCGTTCATACGGAAACTCATACCTAAGCATCGCTAATCATGCCCGAGCTGCGGCTCTTATCGGCAATCACTACCTAGTATCTAAGGGCCAAGCTTGGGCTGGCCGAGAAGTTTGGATGTTGGAATAGAAACATACATTCGAGGTCCGTGAGACTTGCCACGTAATTCGTGCTCAGTAGGTACCAATCAACTTCCTGTGACCTATGCTGCAGACTTGGGTTTCAACGACATAAACGTGACAGATTTAAAGCATGTCCACCAGCCGACATTGATTGCTCAAACTTGAGATGTAGCGCCGAATTTATTTTGTAGCGATTACCATCTTAACAAGCGCCTCCGCGTCAGGGGCTTCGCTCCGGGTGATTAAAGTGGTGCTGTAAAAGTGAAAGTGTCACGAAACCTGTCACAGAAGACCAGGTGATATCGTAGCCGTTGCGACGGAGAACAACGCCCGAAAGGATCACCTCTAGCGGCGGAACCAAGCATAATCTCATTCTTCAACCCTAGAAAGTTCCTATACACGCCGATCTGTTACGTGAGTATTATCATGTCCCACGCCGCTGCTTATGCGGACACCACATGTCAGCGTGGTCCAACATTTGACACGAGCTGATCCAGTGCTACTCTTACTGCGTCTACCATTTAGTAAAGGCTCAATTAGCATCATCGTTACTTTGTCCGGGATCATGGAGATGATGATAGGTAGCTTGGCATGAACCAACGACGATGTGTATCATCTTTCCAGCGCATATGCTGCAACAATTTGTGAAGAGACTACTGATTTGTTGGCCGCCATTTCTAAACACCGCGAAATGTTTATAAAAAGGACGTTGACGACCACCTGACGTTGAGGCTTATCGACACCATCGCTTTCTGGTTAGACGCTCTGAAAACACTTTACCCCATATCAACTGCTCATTCTATTTGTCTTTGTGACATTCTCATCCGACGCCGTTCACCATGCAGATTGCTAAAGTCGCGCTCTTCCTCTTCGCTGCTACCGGCGTGGCGGCGAACCCCGTTGATGTCGATGTCAACGGCGTAGACGTCAAAGTATCCGGCGGGGAGGACATGAACATGTTCATAACGTACACTGGGGTAAGCAGACGTTCCCAACCTACACAATCCTTCATCCCAGTGTGACGTGATGCTGATTCAATTTTGTCTTCTTCGCAGAAATGCAGCAGAGGTAGAAACTATAAGGAGGACACGTGCAAATTCAAGGGGCAAAAGGGCAAGACCACCATTGTGCGGTGCCCAAGGTTTGCCAACCAGAGGGTGAGTTTCGACTCCTTCTAGTACGCAGGTCTTCAAGTTGAATGGCCCTAACGTTTTGACCTTGTTCTCTAGTGCCCTCGGAATGGCAGTAAGTGCACATGGGACAGCTACAAGCGGACTACCAAGTGCAACTACAAGTAGCTTCTCTAGCTTGAAGGCACCGATACTTATTCCGAAACCTCATTAAGATGATCAGTCAGCCATTAGCTGATTCTCCAAATCGTGGGATAAGTTCTTTGGAATGACACGGAATTAAGACTGTCATTTGGGAGGGAGTAGCAGTGCATTCGGCACTATCTGGGAAATGCGACGCGCAGGATGGAGGGAGGAGGATGACCTGTCACATTCGTTGAGTTTCTGCATTTCGATCACTCTGAACAAGCAGTCGTTACCGCATTTCAACACCTCTTGGGTCTGCTCAATCACTCTTTTGACTCATGCCCGAAGTTCTACCAGAAAAATTACGGAAGTTCAGTTTGCGTCCAATTGTGGCATCAATATAGGCCGAAGAATAACATCGGCCGACCGAAGAACTTCAACGCTGCAACGGCGCAAATTGTGGAAGACAGTAGAATAGTCCAAAGTACCACGAAGTTTCACTGGATGGTTTGGAAGAATCTGTTTCAATATTTACATTCATCTGCACAGACCAGACTGGAGATGTTCAATGTAGCGGGCTTCATTATCGCATTCCAAATATTCCAGGCACCGCAAATTGGAGGTCTCGTGGGAACCCTTGCGAGCTGAAGACATAAAGGGGGAGGTTTTCCAACACCGCTATGGATCACGATTTGAATAAAAAGAACCGCCAATGTCCCTATGGTGTTGCATTTGCAGCTTGGCACGAACGCTCCGTGCCCTCCAGGTAAGCTACCAAGGTTATCGCATGTCCTGGCGACAACGTTTTCTCAACACCAACTCCAATCGTTATTAAGAAATCTCTGCGACACCGAGATTCGCTGAGCGAATGGTTCAAAAGGTATCATCGAGCCTTTGACTAACTTGGCAGCCGTCTTTGGAATCATCGAACCAGAAAGCTGAAGGTCAGTCACATTCGTATAAGACATATTCCATGGACACCCACGACCGGGTTCATCGCCTCAGTTTCTCAAAGTCTTCCCCGTATAATACTTCTCTGTCTGGTACTTCCCCGTCTAGTGTTCTTCCGTCTCATATCTCTCTGTCCAATACGGCTCACGGATTTCGATCACAATGGGCCGCCCACTCTTCTCAGAGGCTGTTGCTGTCAGACGTACGGTTCCTTGGACGAACGCCGACGAATATTTGTTATGGCCGATGGAAAAGTTGGTCCACGAAGTTAGAGAATACATAAAAGCCCTGGAGGCGAATGCGGATTCCATTGCTTCTTCCGCCGGCCCCTTTCATGGGCGAGACTTCTGGATTCAAAACATACAACGCCAGGAGTTGCGGCAGCGATCCATCGTATTCCTGGCCCACTTTAATGCCTTGCTTGCCGCGAAATATCAATACCACCAAATCAGCAGCTTTGAGGATTGGATGGTCGACTTCGACACATCCCAGCTTTATCAAACTAGGTTTCTGGCGCACGTGGAGCTTGAGCGCATCGCCAGACGCTGTGCATTTTCGGCCACTGGTCCCACGGCCAGTCTACATAGCGACGGCTTTTCGATATACTCGATACGACTTCATGACCCACACCTTTGGGAGGAACATTTGCGCGATGACGTTCGGTCCGACCATCAGGAAATGCGTCTGAAAATGGCTGAGCTGTACTGTGGCTCCTCTGCTCTGGAGAATAACGACGTCTGGGATCCTGTACTCGGTGGTATGAACCCGGATTTGAGCTACCGCGATTCCATTCTTCTGTTCCCTTACAGGTCCAGAGATACCATGTTAAGAATATTCGGCTGCTTTTCCAACAGTGTATGCAAGGCCGACAACGGACTCTTCCTCCCTTCTTCCGTCTCGAGGGCCATTGAAGAGGGCGTTCTGGCGATCGTCCCTGATCTCGGCATGGAACCTCCGTCAAAGATCAGCCAAACGGAATTGTTTGAAAGCCGCTTCGATGAGTGGATGAACAAGGTCCAGGACTATCAGTTGATCGTCATTAATGAAGCGCACCCGCTAGTCCACGACACGTGTAAGATCACGACAAAATATGGGGTTGTTGAACGCGAACTTGGTTCGCTTCACGGCCACAAGCTGAAGTTCAAGACTTCCATGAGACCGCGAGTCTCTTTCGTCGGGTGGTCATTCCTGTCTGCAGCCTTGGTTGCGTCATGGCGATGCCTGAGAAACTACGAGCATACAACCCACGCTGCGCACACCAAGAGCCAGGTGGAAAAGGCCATTCGTTACTGGGGAAAGAGCGCAGTAAATCTGTTAGAGGCAAAGATTTTCATTGGATTCCTCCTTGCTATGGGGGTGACCGAGAGAGAGTCCTATACCCAGAGCCGTGACGACCTCGGTGTCGCTATCGTCGCAATCGAGCGTGCCTATCCAATGCAGAATCCTCATTAGCCAACATCCTGGGGTCGATCAAGACTACGAATGGGTATGAGATATCGACATGATGGTTGTGGAGGAACTTGGTGATTGTGCGAAAGCTTTAGCAGGATCCCTAGCTTAGCGTATCAGATGCGAAAGCTAAGGCAGGATCCCTAGCTTACTTAGCGTAGCGAATAAGACATTCCTTGTGTCTCATGAAAACGAAACACCCATTCCATGTTACTGGGTGTGAAAGGGACATGCACAGACTTGCAATCAATAGCATAGGATGCTGCATATCATATTTCCTGTCTCTCCATTCCTGGAGTACAGATGTATGCTAAATTTCCTACCCCAACATAGTTGTGAACTTTCTGAACTTTACAACTAATCTTTCTTTGCTATGGAAGGCCGTAGTCGTCCAGGTACACACTCCCCACAAACATCATGGCTCGACCAGACGCTATTCACCTTGCTTCACAAAGCCTTGACTCACCCCGATTCAACATCGGCTATTCGTAGTATTCACAAACTCACCTGATATATCAAAAACCTGCTCCCAGAAAAGCTCTTCAGGCGCTGACTCCACCACACTAACTTGGAGAATTCCAATCTTCCTACAACCTCGATATTTGCTCTCACCTTCGACAACACTTGCTAACGGGCTTTCCTTGGCAAGTCTATACAATGGCAGACCCAAAGCCCGTCGCCGAGATGACATCCTCCTTCAACGAGATGGAAATCGATCGCGAGAATCCAACCTCTGCACTCTCTCCAGCTCTTCCTGCCGTCGCCCATGCCACCCAGAGCATCGAACACATCTCAGAGCGCGCGGTGCGCAAAGCGAGGGGACGTCGTGGTCTTGCCAAGATGATTCAGAACCGCGGGGAAAGACTCGGTATGTTCATCTCAAGCAAAGCCAGTGGAACTTTAATTCTGCTCAATTTTCGATATGCTGACCGATGACAGGCGCCGCCGCCACCCGTACTCCTCGCCCCGAAATGAACTCACACGAAAAGCTGGAGAACGCGCTCTCTCGTCTAAGCCAGACGATCAAAAACACTTTCAGCGCCGGCTTCTACTTCGGAAGCGCCAGACCCCTCGAAGCAGGTGTTTCTGACAACCTCTGCCGCAGTCTCGGCCTGGATGGCCTGCAGAGCGACCGAGGCAGTCTCGCAAAATTTGCTCGCACTCTGATGAGCGAGACCAATAACCTCAAGTACAGCTACAGCAGACATAGCCAAAACCTCGACGGACGGCGCAAGGACTTCTTCGTCAAGCTCTCGAAGAGCTTGGTCACCAGGGTCGTCGGCGGCGGAACCTTGCAGAAGAACATTAGGAAGAACCCGATTCATGCCTCGACTTGCGACGTGATGCTGGAGGCGCTGGTTCAGGCAAGACTCGCCTACCTTCGCATGGATATCAAAGACGACGGGGGAACGTCTGGAAGCGCGGAAGGCACTTACACGAGGAAGGCGACGAGCCTTATTCAGGCCGTGGACGAGTGGATTTCGACTGTTCAATCTGGCGCGACGAAGCCTCAGCCGGAGGTGCTTGATTTGGCCGAGGCTATTGGCCAGGCCGTTATTTGACGGAGGAAAGGTACCTTGTGGTCGCGAGAAAACGAGGGGCGGTAAGGGTTGCCCGAGTTGGGTACCTCACTGGGCTTTGAGTAGTCATACGCATCCCAAAATTGCTGGACAAGTGTAGACCCTGGATAATGGGTGGATGGGATAACGCGAAGAGTTGTTGAAATAACAAATATGGCTAGATCTCAACAGATTCTAAGCCCTGCCCCGAATACATAGCCCCCCAAAACACAAGGACAAAATGGTTATTCGCATCAGCATGACATCGACCATGGTTTTGACCAACGCGATCACCATGCAGCGAACAAAGAAGGCGCGGAAGGTCGCAGCAGCTCTCAGGAAGAACAGGCTTTCTCCTAGCTATGTCTCAGGGTGAAGATCCAGCTGAAAGGCCTCTCAAAGAGCGTCTGTGAACTCAAAGAGCTCAAGAACCTGAGAATTGCCTCTCAGGTGTATCGGAGACGTGTCAAATAAACTCTATCAAGGAAGGAAGGTAGGTCCCTTGGTTGATTTCGTCCGCCCACCACGTACCTGCCTGCTCTCCAGACTTAAAATTGGTCGCAGACTTTTCACCTTCGCCTGACGCCTTACCCATTCACTAGATTACAGCACTCTTCCATTCTCAAACGGCAACCATTATCGCCGTTTTCGTCCGCCGTCTCTGTCCTCCTTCGCCGTCGGTAGACATTCTTTTCGCTGTCTTCGTCCAGCGTCGCTTTCTTACTTTTCCGGCGCCATGGCAGAAGCATTTAAGGGCAAGGGCCCTGCGCCCAGTGTCGCTTGGTCCGACAGACTTCACATCCTCAACACCGGGACGCAGAAGGAGCTCGACTACTAGCGCCAGCTTCTCACGTATAAGTTAAAGGAGAAGCAAGTCAAGGTCCAGCCCTTGAAGTCGTCCGGTTCCCGCTTCTGGTCCGACAGCGCTGACATCGAGCAAATGCACATGGATGAGGTCGCATTGGAGGCACACGTCAACTTCCTTGAGGCCAAGGACAAAGGTGAAGTCAAGACTCTCGAGGACTGGCTAGCAAAAGACAACAACCACAGGTGGTCCACCAAGTACCTCGCTCATAAGCAGTCCATGGAGATCAATATCGCGGTCAGCAAACGTGATAACAAGGACCAGCTCGCATTCGGAGATCACATGCTGAAGAAGTACTGTCCTGATCGCCGGTACAAAGATTGCTGCTGGGATCCTGTACTTGCGGAATGGAATCGGAGCGAGATATTTCATACTGTACATCTCTTTCCACATCGTTTCAGAGACTCGATGGACACAATTTTCGGCCCGGGTACTGTCAAGGAGCTGTTCAAAGCGCAGAACGGCCTCTTCCTTCATAAGGACATTGAACAAGCCCTGGATGACGGCGTGCTGGCTATCGTGCCGGATATTGATCTGGAGCCCGCTGACCTCGATTTTCCCTTGAAGGAACCCGAGGAGCGCAAGCAGCGCCTGCGCGATTGGGAGAAATCGGAGGTGAAGGAGTACAAAATTATCGTTATCGATCCTTCCCATCCGACCCTCACCGAAGAGAAGACACTCAGCTTCAGTCAAGGTATTCACACTCTTCTTGAGCTTCATGGACGTAAGGTCAAGTTCCTCACCGACTTTCGTCCTCGTGCTCGATACATCTGGTGGGTGTTCCTGGTCTCCGTCACTGTCGCTGGCTGGCGGACGAAGACCTAGACCCGACGTGGCCAATGCCATCACCAAGGAGATTCGTGCGGGTATTTGCTGCTGGGGTGCACCTGGCACATACATCACCCGCAATGTGTTGGAGTCATTCATCATCTCGATTGGACATGACGCCAGGAGCTTTGTCAAGGGCGATGAGGACCAGAAGAAGAAGATGATAAAGCCGGACTACTGCGCCCTGAGTCTGATTGCCCACGACCATGCCTTCCGCAACATCGACTAAGAGGATGATGAGATTGATGAGGATTGAAGCTCGTGGCCGTACTTTTCGCCGTTATCTTTGTTCTTCCAAGCCTCAGTGCAGACACTCGATATCAGGGGGCTATACCAAAGGATAGGCAAGGCATAATCTAGACAGGTCAGGCGGATAGAAGTAGGGCTAGAAGAAGGGCCATTGGCCGGCAGGAGGATACGGCGCAGACGTCGCTTATGTTCATGTACGAGAAGCAGCTTGCGAGGGAACGATTCTGAGGACGGGTTTCTTAGCTAATGAACTTAGACTGTCCAATACTTCATCGAAAGTGGCAAAGGTCTATATGTACATGTCGATACATCTATGAGTGCAATGACAGCCTGTTTTCGATCATCGGGGCTTTGAAGCTTGTGTTCCTCGCCTCTGGGCGAAACGCAACCCACAGACGATTGGGGAAGTAACGAATGCAGGACTGCGGCACAAAAGAAAATACACCACGGAAGCAACAGGCAGCAAGTCTTAAATACCACGTCGGTCCACTTTGGGCCGCGTGCATTATTGCCGATCCCCCTCGTACAACAGATCACGCTCTTCAACGGCGTCCAGCTTTACTACTTGTTGTTGCCAACTTCTTGTCTCGTTTCCACCACCAGCTTTCTCAGCCAGGAGCGAAGAGGCCTCATTCGTGTTCACTCTAAAATAATTATCGCATACTTCACGCAGCCATGACCGGTCTCCAGGATGAGCCAAGCCACCTCTGCAGTCGTTGCAGCACCATTCCCCTCGACGCTATCGTCAACGTTCCAACGAAGGCCGTGAACTTGGAGCTCGGTTTATTTCAAGAAGTTGTTTCCAAAAGCGAACATTGCTCATTCTGCAGACTGATTATCCAAGCATTCCATGCTCACCTAGATCCACACTGGCGACCAGGAGAGCATCCCGATCAGATGTGCTATCTACAAGTTGACGAGCAACAAGCTGGATCATCGTCTCCGCTGATCAAGGTTTACTGCGACATTACATCTGATTCAATGCCAAAAGGCTTTTTCGGAAGCTACAGACTACTAGGATTCATCGGTGCTCCTTTGGAAGACAAGACTAGCGACGGCACCAAAATTGTGCCACCTGCTACCACTGGAAAATTGGACTACGATTTGGTCAGCTCCTGGATAGAAGACTGCCAATCGCACGATGAGTGTAGCATCGGATCAGAACCAAGTCCCGAGGGCGCTACAGGCATCTGGCTGGTTGACGTCCAAGATAGGTGTTTAGTCCAGCGGGACTGGGATTGTCGCTACATTGCCCTCAGCTACGTCTGGGGGGACCTCGTAGCAATTCGGAGCCAGAAGACCAATTTCCCCAGTCTGAAATTTCCTGGCTCTTTGAACGGCGTTATGGGACAAATGCCACAAGTCATCCAGGATGCCATCACATTTACCGCCAACGTCAAGCAACAATATCTTTGGGTGGACTCTTTGTGCATTGTGCAGGACGATGACACCTTCAAAGAAAGATACATTCCTCGAATGCATCTGATCTACCAATCATCTCTAGCAACTATCGTTGCTACAGCCGGAAAGGATGCCAATAAAGGTCTGCCTGGTATCTCCTACCCCCGCGAGGCCCCCTACACCCCGATCAAGTTCGGTTCTCGGTCGCTGGAAGCCAAGCCTCCTTGCCTCCTGCCTCTCATGTGGAAATCAAAGTGGAAAACCAGAGCCTGGACCTTCCAGGAAGGCATATTCTCCGGAAAATGCATATACTTCACCGACTACCAGGCGTTCTGGGTTTGCTCCGCTCGTCGGGCTTCGGAAAGCAACACTGAGTATTACCATGATGGAATGCACCTTTGGGAAAAAAGCTCGACTAGTCTCTTTTCTCGGTCCAGCGGCACATACCGGGAACGTGTTTACCAAAGTCTTGTGCAGGGCTATTCAAACAGGACACTGTCTCACCATTCCGACTCGCTCAGCGCTTTTGCCGGCCTGCTCTCAAAGATGGGGGAAGCGTTCGACTGGAAATTTGTCAGTGCTCTACCAGAGAAAAGCTTTGAATCCTTCATTTTCTGGGTTGCACCTTTTGGCGGCATACTTCGGCCGAGAAATAACGCCATGCATAATTCGGATGTTATGTTCTGCCGCTCACCCACTTGGTGTTGGACAGCATGGGACGCATACGTGTACTGGGACCCATGGAGACAAGACGAATTCATGGGGAAAGCGGTGACTACAAAGTCCGAAGTCGAAGAATACTGGATCAGCGAGACCGTCGGGTTTAGGAGGATTGGCGACAAAGAACACTCCGACCACGGCGACCAAATGTTCGCATCATCACTGCATGAGAAACAACCATGTGTGCTGGACTCTCGTCGGCTGGGGAGTGATCTCCCGCCAAAAACTCTTATGTTCAGGGGAAATATCATCGATACCAAAGCCTTCGAGATCAAGTCCCCAATCTTCGACCCAGCCTGCAGTCGCTACTTTCAAGGACATTTGACCGGCGCAGGCTGGGTATATGACAGCAATGGCCGACACTGCGGAACCCTTCGTGGCATCAATCTCTCAAAATATTATGACCAGGAGAAATGGGAATTCATTTTGCTGTCGCGCAGCGACCAAGACGAGGTTCTTCAAGCTGACATCGACGCCACGCCAAGCCCCGACTTGCCTCCGGAGTATCCCTCTGCCAAAGAGTACTACGAAGAAATATTCGATACAACAGCGTATAAATACCGAAGTTGGTGGACTCTGAACATCATGTTGGTCGAAAGGAAAGGTTTGTGGGTGGAACGGGTTGCTGTTGGGCAAATTCATGCTGATGCGTGGGATTCCGCTCTTGGGCAGTCATCTCCGGAAACAATTTTCTTAGCTTGAGGTGCTCTGTCTGTCGTCAGGAGTGGTATATGGTTTGTTGATCTACATTATTCGGTTGAAGAGAGTGGTACATAGACTATTGATGTACACCGTTCATTGGACAAATGAAACCTTGGAATGTTCCTGCAGAACAATAGCCACCCCACGTTACTGATGTCATGGCCCAGGCTACGAGCATTCATTGCCTTCCATCTCGTACATTATTGATAGTTAGTTTGCGACTCCCAGTTCTTTCTCGCTTGCGCCGTGCCGAGTCCGCAGCTTTTACCAGCTCGCTCCATCGTGCGACAACTTGCTTGCTGTTCGGACTTGTCTCAACCACTTGCAGTATTTTCTGCGCTCCACGAATCTTGGAGAGCGGTCCAATAATCCAATCCGCCGTTCCATCATCGCCCAAGAGAAACGGGTAGTTATTGGGGTTGAGAACGACGGTGACCTCCTGAAGGGCAGGCAACAACGCAGCAACAGCCAGACACGCCGGCTCCCAAGGGATGCGAGGAACAGTTGCAAAGAAGCGCCTGGGAAACATCGTTACGCGCAGGATATTCCTTCTTGTTTGCTTAGAGAACCTGCCGAAGAACTCATTGACAGTCTGTTCGTTTGTATCTGATCCCAGGTCGAAGGTGCAGCTTCTGTAGAGCAACGGCATGGCCTCGGAGTATGTTTGCTTGTTCACTCTCAAGATGACAGTGTCAGGTTCGAAACGAGCCTCTGTTGTGTAAACCAAAATTCCCCAGGGTCTTCTCGAGAGGTTCACGGTCCCGCCGTAGTAGACCAGGTAGCAGTATATTTGTTCCCGCAATTCGAGTGGTAGATCGAACAGGGGAAAGGGGTCGCTAGAACGGCGGACTGGATCCGAGAATCCGATAGACTGGCAATCGTCGTCGCCCATTATTACTGTGGAACGTTACTTATTTGGTTGTCCGTCTTTTTGCTTTCCAGCTTCATTCATCTGGAAGAGATAAATATCTCGCCGGAACTGTTGGAAAGGGTGCCTAGAGAATAAAAGTGGTCCGATGTTATTCCTCAACTGAAGTATTGTGCATTCTGGTTACAACGATTTGCTTGTCTTTCAGCTCCCTACATTGCATCAGACAAAAGCATCCACACACCATTTATGCACATTGAGTGGCTGAAGACTGTGGCGACACAATGTGGCTTGCAAATCATCAAATAATTTCGATTCATGCTCGGACGCAAGAGCTATCCCAGCTGCGTTATCTACAACACACCTGTCGAGCCCTGCCTCGATGGCCATGCGCCTAATTCGACATTCCTACCGCATCTGCTTCACAGCACATCAATTGACCGTTCGATCTATCACCACCAAAGCCTCTGCTCCCACGATTGTCAGCACCCCGAGCGCGATTCCGTGTCAGCCGAAGCGCCTTCGGTGCACCGAGGTGGACGAAAATGGCGACGTGACAGTGCGATATATCTCGGCGAAGAAAACCGAGCTCACCACACGCTACGGCCTTGTCCCTCGGGACATTCGCAAGATTGAGCTTTCGACACTCTCCCACATTGGCATCCGGCCCTCGACCGTTCTCATTCACCTCTTCCACCTGAAGGTGTTGGTGCAGCGTGACCGAGTCCTTATTTTCGACGATGCGACGAGTCCCACCTCACGCGAAGCATTTCTGCGCGACATCGGCGAAGCAATAAAACTGAGGAATGCGGCGTTGGCCGAGGTAGCGTGCGAGCGCAAGGAAGACGAGACATACGCGCAGCCGCAAGCCACCTTTGAGTTCCTGGCCCTAGAGGCTGTCTTGAGCTCCGTTGTAACGGAGCTCGAGGGAGAGCTCGCGGCTGTGCGACTTCCGGCTGATCGTGTCCTCGCATCTCTCGAAGATGATGTGGACCGCCGCGTGTTGCTGAACCTGTTCGGTCTGTCCGGAAGGGCAACCTGGGTTGCGGCGCAAGCGGAGCTGGTCCTCGGCGCTGTCGAAGATGTCCTCGATTGGGACGACAGTCTTGCCGCTCTGTATCTGACAGAGAAGGCAGACCCGAATGCCTTGGCAAAGACTGTGGACGACGACCTCACGGCGGCAGAGTCATTACTGGGGTCGTACTACAACGCTCTCAACGAGATCGTGCAGGAGGCGCAGAGTCTGGTGTCCAGCATTCGGAACACCCAAGAGAGGTTTGTGTCACACACCATTGCTTCAGATTCTAGAACACCCTCTGACTGTTTCTTCCGTCTTGGCCTGCCTCCAGCGCCAGCGCCATTCTCGATGCCAACCGCAACTCGTTGATGTTACTCGACCTCAAATACCGCATGGGGACGCTTGGCCTTGCATCGGGCTCCTTCTTTTCTGCCTTCTACGGCATGAATATATCTAACTATATTGTAGACTACAACTGGGCGTTTCCGGGCGTATGCGGAACCTCGGCTGTTCTAGCTGTGATCGCTACATGCTACGGGTCGTCCGTCCTGCGCAAGCTGATGAGAGTGAGGATGGAAGGGCACCGGGAAGCCCGATCACTTGTCTCTGGGAGATGGAGCAAGACGATGAAATGAGACCAGGACAAATGTAACAACAGGGTCGTTTTCGCAGTCACGTACAAATACACAAGTGACGGTGAGGATGACATAGTTAATGTGTAGTAATGCAGACATCAAGGAGCGCTGGAAGTACGCCGAGCGTTCCCTCTGGCAACTGATGAGGCGAACCAGCCCAGACAAATTGTTCGATCCCCTGATATCTGCTTCAGTCAAAGATCATCACCGAGTGCGGCCGGTATTGTCTCTTTCGGCCCGTTCACCAGCCGTCTTGCTGCTCGAGCTTCTTGGACCCTAGCCGGAACCTTCGGACGGCATCTTGGCCAAGCCGGTGCCCAGGCGGCAGATTTAGGCTCACTCAGGGGGCCCCAGTGCAGTACAGCCAGACGTACACGCGGTCATGCAGAGCCTCAAATTTCATAACAGTCATAGAGCTTTTCAGAAGATTGGGTATATGAATCAAATGATCATGTGTGTATTCCTGCGGATTCACATGTCACCAAAAGAATTGGTACACAAGTACGCCGCAGTCAGCCGTGAACCCGGGGTTATGGGCCTGGAATTCAGGTACCGACCCGCTTCGTGCTGTCGTCCCTGCATGGACATCAGGATCGCACCTTGAACTTTCCTCGCAGTCAAGAAACATGTGTAATTCTTGTGTTGCGATGCATACAGCTGGCTACATGTAGTACAAAACACGATTCATCGCACAGAATCGCAAGCCATTTTGAATAAGATCCTTCGGGATTCTGCATGGAACACGACGTGAAAACAGGAGACATTGTGTTGAATCAGAGACACTCCACCGCCATTTTTCAGTTGATGCGCTGCTGGGGTTCCAGTTACCGAGACCAGTTTTCAGGTCTAGAACACACCAAAACAGCGGGAGTAATCACGCGGAAAGGGGATGTCAAATTGGCGGAACGTTTCCCCGGCCGTCGATAATCTCTCTAGAATACCAGAAAGAAGCAATACTCAGGGACCGCAAGGGGCTGAGAGTCCAAGCTGAGGATCGTGCTGTAGGGGGGGGAACAACACAACCCAGCCAACAGCGGACTGATGGGGCTCAATCAGCGCACATTATCGCCAAGACTGCCCCATTGACGATGAGCTGGACGGGAATGACGAGTTAGGAGGGGCCTAGACTGACGGTGCAAGTGGAGATTGTAGGCTGAGTCTGCCGATCACTACTAGCTGACTGCCAGGTCCAATACCATTCTTTTTTCACCTTTCACCATGTTTACCCCAATGGAAAACCGGTCGGTGACGGTAGTGAGATGCGTCTTGGCTGGCAAGAATACGAGCTCCACGAAGGCACGCGAGCGACGTCATGCACAAAAATTCTCTCGTGTCTGTCGGTAGCTATTTTTGTTGTACATGCTACCGAACATGTGGCGCACTTTAAATACCTTAAAGATGACCCAACGTAAACAAATAAGGACCCTGGGATGCCCAGCTTCGACCAGACTTCCAGAAGCCCTCATCCGTCCCTAATTCTCATTTATTATCTTTAGTTTAATATCTTCAATATGTATCTGAGAGGAGCTGTCGCTGCCACCTTGGCTACCACCGTCTTGGCCCAGACCCAGCAGGGCTTCAACTACGGAGCCACCAACGAAGACGGCTCTTGCAGAGGCTACGATGACTTCGTGAGCTACTTCAACACCGCAAAGAGCTTGGCCGGAACGTCGGGCTTCGCATCTGCCCGTCTCTACACATCAATCCAGTGCGGTACGGTAAATGACCCGATCTCAGCTTACCAGGCCGCGATCGACACCGATACTCAGATCTTGGTGGGCCTGTGGGCCAGTGCCGGCCGCGGCATCTACGAGAACGAGCTCAACTCCCTGCTGCGCGCCGCCGAGCAGTACGGCACCGCCTTCACCGACCGCGTAGTCGGCATCAGTGTCGGGTCCGAGGATCTCTACCGCAGCAGCCCCGATGGCGTTGCCGCCAACGCCGGCGTCGGAGCCACCGGCGCCGAGATTGAGGGATACATCGGCTGGTTGAGAGACTGGATCCGCGGCACCGCGCTCGAGGGCAAGCCCATCGGCCACGTCGACACCTGGACCGCGTGGGTGAGAGGCGAGAACGCCGGTGTTGCCGCCTCTGTTGACTGGCTCGGCCACAACTCCTTCCCCTACTTCGAGTCGACCAAGCCCAATGCCATCGAGCAGGCTGCCGACAACTTCTGGACCGCCGTGGGTAACACCGAGAGTGTTGCAGGAGGAAAGCCTGTGTACATCACCGAGACTGGCTGGCCGCACAGTAAGTTGAACCAGACCCAGCCTCACCGTTGCGGTGCTACACGTCTCGAAATGTCTTTGACTAACATGCTTATCGTAGTCGGTCCTCAGTCGGGCGCTGCTGTCGCCTCCGTCGACAATGCTCGCACCTACTGGTCTCAGGTCGGTTGCGCTCTGTTTGGTCAGCGCAACGTTTGGTGGTACACCCTTCTTGATGCGAACACTGCGCAGACCGACATCTCCTTCGGCGTGACGCCGGCAGGCAGCTCGACGCCCGTTTTTGATCTTAGCTGTTAAGAGCTTTGAGATTGGGAAAGTGAGCCTCTGCGAAGGATATTCGGGGTTGAAATAAGCTATGAATAAGAGCACGGGGCTACGCCAAGATATGCCACGTAATAATGTTAATTTTTACTTTGCCTTCACGATAAGTCCGGGAATCCGGCCCATGGGAAATGGTGAAATCGCCAAGAATGCCTTCAAACTCTATTTTCCAAGCCGACGTGTTGACCTGTCTGTTGACAACATGGCGAGAGTCGCATCCTACTCCACAAGCTGGAGCAGCAGAAGGAACTTTGGTCTTAAAAGCAACCATACTATCACACCGATGCTCCCAGTTTTCTTCATCCCACTGGCCACTGACCGAGTTCGGTTAGCCGCTGATCTGCTGTCAGATTATTCGCTAAGTCATGCAGCTTTTGAATTGTCCCTTCTGTTGCGACGATAAAAAACATGCACAAGCCCCGCACTTCTCTTGTAAATCATTTATCTTTGTGTTGCGACTCACCAGTGGATGACGGAACATTTTGATAGTAGTTTTCTCATCTCTTGAGCTGAAACTTGATTATTTGCATATTTGACATGGAGGTACTGATCGCTGGGGTAGCCTGGGCGCTGAACCGGACAGTCTCTACCCAGAAGATCTTTGGCTGCCTCGGTCTCGCTTCACTGCTTGCTCACAACGTCGCGGGGTCTTGGACGGAGCTTGCGGCGCAACTTTCGCCCCAAGCATCTATCTTGCTGCCCGATGAGCCATCATTCGAATCGTCTATAAGCAGATGGAGAGAGTGGCATGCGCCTAGCGTGGGTGCTGTCGTGAATGTCTTTACGGAGAGTGATATCCAAGCCACGGTACGTATACACGAAGTCGAGAACGAGTTCGGGTCGACTGATCGTCAGTGGACTGAAAGACTGATTGATACCGACTTGCACAGATCCGGTACGCTAATGAGCATGGAATACCCTTCCTCGCCAGGTCTGGCGGGCATGGCGCGACCGAAGCATTGCAGGCTGCTAAAGACGCGATCATGATTGACGTGCGGGGTTGGAATCAGGTTGAGATAGCAGAAGATGGAAAGACGGCAACTCTAGGCGGCGGCGCGAGTGTGAAAACGGTTGTCAATGCCCTCTGGGCGGCAGGCAAGCAGACGAGTGAGTCCATTTCCCCAGAATATTTGACAGGGACCAGATGCTTATCTCCCCAAGCGACCGGCCTTTGCGAATGCGTCGGCTTTTCAGCACCAATCCTCGGAGGCGGCCATGGTTGGCTACAGGGACAGTACGGCCTAGCCTCGGACCAAGTCATCTCGGCCCGGATCGTCCTTCCCAGCGGCGAAGCGGTGACGGCATCAGGGGAGACCAACCCCGACCTCTTCTGGGCCTTGCAGGGAGCTGGACACAACTTCGGCGTTGTGACCGAGTGGGAGTACCGCGTCTACGATGTCAAGAACAATGCTTGGGGCTACAGCATTTTCATCTTCCTCGCTGAGCACCTAGAAGAGGTAATGGAAGTGACCAACAAGATGATGGAGACGCAACCGCCTGAAATCGCCCACTGGATTTACTTCATTAACCTTCCCGACATTGATCCGAAGAGAGTACGTTCCCCGAATGCGGATCCACCTCCTTTCCATGGCTAACGTTGCTAGCCAATCGTCTGGTACGCCATCATTAACGATGGAAGTGAAAATGATACCGTAGAGTATGCCAAGCCTCTTTTCGATATCGAGCATGTCAGTGCCGAAAGTGGCTCTACCCCGATGCCCGACTTGGCCGTGAAGGTGTTTACTAGTGAGGACAGCCTCGGTTGTGCCAAAGGCAACACTGGTCTCAGGTATCCTATCGGGCTAAAGAGATACGATCTTCCCGCCATTCGAAAAGTGTTTGACGACATGACCGAGATGTCTCTTACCGTTCCCGAGCTTGCGGGCTCGTTCTTCATGTTGGAGGGCTATTCGACGCAGGGGGTCAAGGCTATTGATGAAAAGAGCTCTGCCTTCCCGCATCGCGATGATGATCTCTTGGTCACCCCTTACGTCGTGTACAAGCCAAACGCGTCTCTGGATGCTCTAGCTCAAGACTATGGAGAGAGGTTGCGGGGTCATCTACTGAAAGCGAGCGACGATCCGGAGCGGCTGCGGGCGTACGTCAATTATGCGCATGGGGACGAGTCTTTGGAGTCTGTGTATGGGTGGGAAGAATGGAGACTCGAGAAACTGAGGGCCTTGAAGAAGAAGTGGGATCCAGAGAACCGGATGAGGTTCTACAATCCCATTGTGTGAGGCTCACAGCACTCAGAAAGGTAGCCCCTGTCTCAGGGGCTGTGCTTCCCAGATCGAGGAACGTTCCAACAGAAAAGGCAAGGGCAGCCGCACAATCTCGATGGAGTAATCTGAGCGTAACATCACGCACGCATGAGCATGTTCGTGGTTCAACGCGTATGGTATGCGAGGTCTAGGACGCAAGTGATGGAGTACAGACGGTGTGACGGACCGCTCAGTCCGGGAACGCCCACGATATCCTGGTCCGTAGGAGTTTAGAGCAACAATATGCCGATGATTACCCGTCCCTGACGTTCCGATGCTACTATTTGAACGCGTTGCGGAGTTTGTCGGAGCTGGATGGTGTAAAGCGCGGAGTTTACCCGACACTCCGCGAGTCGTAGTATCCCCTGCGGTGAGCATTCACCGAATCAAGTCCAGACTCAAGACTGCCTGGCAACCAGCGAGCTATGACCACTCGCGACTCATTATGGTCAAGGAATAATCCACCAGGTTGAAGGTACTGCCGTCTTAGGAACCTGTCTACGCGGCGCAAATGTCCGACGACCCGCTCTTTCCCCCAACCTCTCCTCAAATCCCGATTATTTGTCGTAAGATCATGCGGGGAAGTCGTTCAGCTCGCTTTCGGATTCCCTGCACGGCATATGAAGAACACAGACTTGATCGTTTACATCTAGAATTTACTTGTCAATGTGTCAATTGAAGAACTCTTTGACAGCCTTTCAGACCGGAAGTTGATGCTGTAGTGAGCGAGTTAGTAGCTCTTTCGAGGCGAGCTTTACCCACTTGACCCGCGTCCAGAACTCTTTAACGAATTCATGGCTTCAGCATCAACTCGTAGATGGGAAAGATGAAGTCCGATATCATTAGAGGGTGAATGACGTTGTTATCTGGATCTAACCATCTGATCTGTTGACAAGCGGAGCCTCAACGCGGGAATGTCGAGGATTTAACAACAGCCCCGTTTGCCAAGGAGATGAACTTTGGACAAGTGCTGGAAGTTCAGACCCCGATATCCCCCGAAGACGCTTCACCTCAACTGCCCCAGACTTACCCCATGTCAGACTGAGTGGTTTCCCCACGGGGGGCGCTTGTAGTTCCCTGCCGTTGATGGAGATTCAACCATGAATTGGGACGGTTGTATGTCTGTGCATCGACTTAAAAGTCCCGGTTCCGAAGCAATTAAGTAAGTCTTGTCACTACCAGCTCTCTTGGCTCTTCTTTTCTCCCCGAGCAGATTTTCGGCGCTTTTGGAGTCTTCCGTGGTCCCTTTTGTTATTGGTTCACGTTCCTTGACACTCTGAGAACATGTTTGGAAAGTCGAATGGTGCTTCCAACAAGAGCAAGGGCATCAGCCCCGAGCTTGAGGCTGTCCTGCCTAAGGATGGCCTCCCATGGCACAAGAAGTCACATCTGAGATGGCTCAACTACTACTGCGTCTTCTTGGGCCTTTTGTGCGCCGCGAACGGATACGATGGATCGATGATGAACGGGTTGTTGGCTCTGCCTCAATGGATGAATTTCATGGACCAACCGAAAGGCGCATGGCTGGGTTTCATCAATGCCGTCCAGTCCTTATCGACTATGCTCGCCTATCCTGTCGTCGCCTATTTCGCCAACCGATGGGGCCGTAAGAAAGGCTTGTTCGTGGGATACGCCTTCTTGTTCCTAGGATCACTGCTGCAAGCATTCACTCCCAACAAGACGGGCTTCATTCTTGGGCGACTGTTCATCGGTCAACCGAGTGGTTGGTGGGGTGGACTTGCACCTGTTCTCATCACTGAACTGGCTTACCCAACACATCGTGGAATCCTTACAGCGTGAGTGTAACATTGCTCAAGCTTCGCAATAGCACGACTAAAGGCGCTTGACTTTAGGCTTTACAACTGTGGGTGGTTCGTCGGTAGTTCGTTTGCCGCCTGGGTACGTGCATCATCGCCATACTCGTATGAATGTTGCTCACAAGATGCAGGTGACATACGGGACCCGAAACTACGATAGCACATGGGCTTGGCGCATCCCTTCCCTTCTTCAAATTGCCGTACCGATCGTCGTTCTCCCAGCCGCCATCATGGTTCCCGAATCGCCCCGCTTCTTGGTTTCTAAGGGGCGAGTTGCAGAAGCGCGCAGAATCCTTGTCAAGCTACATGGAGGTGGCGACGAGCATTCCTTGCTGGTTGACTTCGAAATGGCCGAGATCGAGCGGGCGATCGAAGATGACAAGGCTCTCGGCGAGACTTCGTCTTGGATGGAGATGTTCAAGACCCCTGGAAACAGGCACAGGGCCTTTATCTCTATTACGCTTGGCCTGTTGGCTCAATGGGTAAGAACTGAGACTCATACACAGAGGGTTTTTAACTGACAGATTCAGGGCGGAAACAACTTAGTCAGCTATTACCTCGCAGACGTCCTTAAAGCAGTCGGAATCACGTCGATCACGGACCAAACCATCATCAACGGCTGCCTGCAGAGTTGGAACCTGGTCATGGCTGTCTCGGCGGCCATGTCGGTTGATAGAGTTGGCCGTCGTTTCTTGTTCCTCACCAGTGTGTTGGGCATGCTCACCAGTTACATCATCCTCTCAGGTTTGAATGGTGGCTTTGCCACAACAGGAAAAGCATCGGTCGGCCTTGCGGTTGTTCCATTCCTGTACATCTACTACAGCTTTTATGACATTGCATTGTAAGTACCATCCTTCCTGGGTGCTCGAAAGATGCTTGTCGTTTAATCCTAACTGTACAAACACAGTACACCTCTTATTGTATCATACCCCGCCGAGATCTGGCCATACCAGCTGCGTGCCCGCGGTACCGCCTTGACGCAAATGTCTACGTATTTCGGCATTTTCTTCAACGTTTTTGTTAACCCCATTGCATTCGATGCAATGGGCTGGAAGTATTACCTTGTGTTCGTTGTCATTCTGATCATCGGAACGGTGATCATCTACTTCTTCTACCCCGAGACTAGGGGTCACACGCTGGAGGAGATGGCTGTCATTTTCGACGGGGAGTCAGCAAGGGTTACTGATACCTTTGTATCCGGAGACGACAAGAGAGCTGGTATTACGCAGCATCACGAGAGCGCATGAGTAAGCGCCTCATAGATCAAATCTGTCGAGGAGTCCATTTGATGTGGAATTGCATTTTCAATGGGTTCTTGGTGTTGGTCATGGGATCTCAAATAAACTCGACATTATGCATCCTACTGTTTCTATTGGACCTTTCCTCTTGAGTCCACAGTCCAAATCTCTTCAATAACCCCATTTCTATGCGCATAGTAGAAGTCGTGAAGGTTGATAGTCGGATCAATGTGGCTAGGAATCATCTCAACCCGATCTCCCACGTTGAGCGCCGGCGTTCCCTCGTCCCACGTCAACGAGCCATGCTCGTCGCCAAGGTTCGCATGCCTGTACCTAGGATCCTTGCACTCTGCCAGTCCACTGTCCGTCGTCAAGGATTTGAGGCCCGTATCAATCGTGACCTGACGTTTGCCCTGTTTGCTGACTACCGTCGCCAAAAGGGTAAGACTGTTCGAGTAAAATGTGCCAACTGCGTTTCGATAATCGGTGTCCATGAAAATGAAAGAACCGGGCTGTAGCTCAGTTACACCGGACACCTGCGCACAGAACTCCCCAGTTCCTGTTCCTCCAGTGGTGACAACGTCGATAGCGAAACCATCTTTTCGCAGTTGCTCTGCCGTGTCGACCAGCGTCTTCATCGACTCAAGGCACTGTTTCTTGCGGTCTTCACGGTCGTGAAGATGTTGAAGATGACCCTCGTAGCCCTGGACACCAATCAACCGCAGGTGCGGCAGCGTCGCGACGTGCTTCGCGAGAGCCAAGGCCGGCTCTCCAGGCGCAACTCCGGTTCGGTGCAGTCCCACGTCAAGATCAATCAGGGTAGTTAACGGCTGATCGATGCCAGATTGGGCCAGGGCGTCATTGATTGCGGTTGCACCAACCTCGCTGTCCACCACAATTCTGATGTCCCTGTGCTTCCGGAACAGCTCGACAAGCCTCTTAACTTTGGGAGCACCGATGATTTCGCAAGTGATGAGGATGTCGTCGAAACCGGCCGTGGTGATGGCCTCCGCCTCAGACACTTTCGCCACACAACAGCCTGTTGCGCCGGCGGCCACCAGCTTGCGGGCAAGAACAGCGCTTTTCGTGGTCTTCAGATGAGGTCGTACTTTGCGACCAGTAGGCAGAAAATTGTCGAATAGCTTTTTTATGTTGGATTCCATGAGATCGAGGTTAACAATCATGGAGGGAGTGTCCAGGCTGTCGAGGCCATCGCCGACACGCGGTGAGTACATGGCTGCAGGAGCTAAATAATCGACTTTCAGGAATAAAATGGAAGCAAAGACTTGTTGATTGACTTTGCAGCGTCAAAAGGAGTTGCGAACGCTTAAGGAATGTGTCTTCGGCGGACGCACGGCGAGGGGAGAGCGGAATCGGCGCTCCTTATCAGCGCCGTAATCATCGGGCGGGGTTGAAGCTCTCGGCCGTGCACAATAATCTCGCATTTAATTGGTCGGTGAAGTATCATGCGGACATGACACTACATTGAGGGGTCTCCGTCAACACGGAAAAGAGCAAGGGACATGGCATCAGCCAAGATAGCGCGCCCCGGCCGTTGGTTAACACTGAGAAGTCTTCCAAGAGGCACTTCACCACCAGCAGATGGTGAGCGTGGCCGCAGAATGGTTTGATCTCCGTTGGGAACTGCCAAGTTCCTCTCCGACGGCCCAGGAGAGGAGACACCCCGGCTCGCGTTGCTCCGGCGCAATGTCGACTCGGGCCGATTCGGAGTGGGGTTTCCCGAGTCCGGGGTAAGGAATTGCGGAGACGGCGAGGTTGTCCGCGGAGGAAGAAGGGCAGCCCCGCGAGGTGCCTCGAATCGAGATGAACCACCTTGATCCCCGCGGGACGGATGCTTCTTCTGGGCTTCATCCCGCAACAGGCCCCATAGCTGTTGAAGCCACCTTTGCTTCTCTTCGGGCTTCATCGAACGAAGGGGTAGGACTTCCGCGCCGCCCATCTCCCTCGTCGGCCACGGGAAGCTGACTGCCATTTCTCTCAATGTCTCAGAGTCAAGCTGTCGAAGAACGATTCGAAGTTGTGGCTCGACATTTGCTACTGGCTGAAACGCCCAGTCTCCTCGTAGCTCTAGGCGCTCTGCAATCTGTGACATGGCTCCGACCAACCATTCAATCGCGACGTTGTCGGGAACTGTATTCGCCTTGCTCAAGAGCCATCCAAGCGTTTCTGGCGTCCCTGACTGGTTGAGGATGGGGATGCTGCGCTTGTCGTGTTCGCGATCCTGCAGCTTCATGATAAAGTCGTTGTATTGCTGCATTGCTGTCAGAGGCAGACCGACGAACTTGCCCGCATTAAGAGCGTGAACAATCTCATCTCCTAGGGCAATGCCAGACTTAACACCGCTATTGAGACCACGCCCTGGCCAAAAGTGTACCGTCATAGCAGCGTCGCCGGCGACTGCAACAAGGGCATGAGGCCGGTTGATAGAAGCTGAATCTGATGGCGGGAGGTACTGGATGCCTTCTCGCACAGCTTGCACCACAACCGGGATGCGCACGACGTTGATGACCTCGCTCTCCTTGAAGCCGAAAAGCTTCAACCCATCGGATATCGACCTCCACAGCGAACCTCCTCTGTTCTCCGACGGTGCGAAAACTTGGTTTTCATTAAAGCCAGGCGGGATCGTCCCATCCGGCCGTCGTAGACATCCTGGATACCCAAAAGTGACAGGTTGACCATCCATAGCCAACATCTTGTGCCATTCCTCCTCGGTGAGCTGCATGTTGAGATACCCGCGACCATCGAAGTCACTGGCGTTGAGGAGATAACGGGTTTGGCCCAACGTAAGAAACACGTTCAGAGGTTGCGACCAAGGAAGCCCAGCTGGCCGATCGAATGCCAAGCCAAGGGCATAACTCCTTCCGCGTTCGTTCTCGTAGCCATGGAAATAAGACTTCCGGACCCAAGATGCTGCTCCGTCTGCTCCAAGGAGCAAATGAAAGTCACCAACTTTGTACAAGTCTTCGCGTGTAACGCCCTCCGCGTGAAGGTGTATCAGGTCGTAAAACTCAGGCGCATGGCATCTTCGAAGCAACCGATCCTCGACCTTCCGGATCTGAATGTTGGCTGAACCAGGCCAAACACACTCGGGGCGCCCTTCGAAAAGTGCTTGCTGCGTTGCCTGGCTCATCAACGTCGTGACTGACTCTTGCAGCGTGACGACCTGATCGCGTCTGCTTGCGGTCGGCGGATAGTTGAAATAAGTACCGTTCGGGCCTGCCATGACCACCCAGCGCCTTTCATATACGTGGACTTGGATCTTGCCAGCACCCTTTTCGGCGAGCGAGATGGCTGACGCCAGAGCCGTGGGACCTCCACCAACTATGGCAACCTTGAGACGTCCTGTGGGGTACTTATATATGACTGCGTCCACAGGCGGAGGTTCGACGTTTCTGAATATCGTTGGGTCGAAGAAGAAGTCCATCACAACTTTGGTTTTGTCGGAGTACATGAAGTCCGGCACCTTGGCTTTGATGAGCATAAATCGGACACATTGAAGCAGTGGCGTAGGGGCAAAACTGGGATGACGATTGCCGAAGATCCTCGTTTGAATCGCGAGAGCCAACGCTGTAATGTTGCGGTACTGTTGGTCTGTCGCGATGGCTTGCAGTTCGAAGCTGAAGACCGGGTCTGGGTTCATCTTGGCGAAGCGAAGCAAAAAGATCTTGGCTCTTTCCAGATCAGTGCGGCTGTCGCCGGATCCGCCGGTACCCCAAGCATCTTCGTATAGTTTCGGGAATAGGATGTCCTCGTGGGATGTTGTTCGTGTTTGGCCTTTGGAAAGGGGGCGAAACCCCGACGGCGAACGACTTCTATTCATGTCTTGTCTGTCCTAAACCAGCTTGACAGAATTTCGAGATCGAATGCGAACGTGTGGAAGAATGATGTCCGAGGAGCCGGCGAAAAGTCCCCGGGGGGTGTATAAGACTTTATGAGCTTATCTTGGTTCATCCGGACAACGTTCCAAAGTCCAGATGACTGACGGGAAGGAAGCGCCAATCTAACCTCTAGCCTCATAAAGGATAGAGGCCATCCCAAAATACCAGACCAGTGCGACAAGAAGAACTTTGTAAGAATCCTTCTAACACAAGTGAATAACTAAAATCTGAGTAAGATTTAAGTTTCTTGTCCTTATTTTTACCACGGCAAAAGGGCATCCGGGATTTGAAGACTCGGAGATTAAGTACCTCCGAGGCAAGAAGTACGAAAACAGGTTTAGTTATCAGACGGAGGCTGACTTCCAGTCCCCATTTCCTAAAGTTTCTCAATTTATCTCATCTAGCGTTGCTTCATAAGCATGGACGTCAATTGAGCACATTGGTGCACTAACATATAAGGTCGCGGGCGAACTTCAGCCACTGCTCTCTCACGTGGCCTCTAAGTTCAACGGGTGGGAAAACATGGCATGGCTTGCATGTGATTATTGGATTGTTCGACATTGTGGGCCTAGAATGGGATGAGAATGGACCTCGCCTGTGGTGGGCGATGAAGTTGATCTAACGTGCGATATACAGAACGGTGAAATATGTTTCTGTTGCTCAATTCCTGCTAAATTACTGTCTGCCCTAATGTGGTACAGCCTGGGCCACAAATGTACGGCAAGCTCAGATGAGCTGACCTTGCGATTGGTTAGGTATCTATGCGGACACAGGCGTCCCAATCACGGGCCGGATTTAAGAAGTCTAGCTGATATTCCCCGCACAAACGCACTTCCATCCTTTGATCTTACCGTGAATGTCAACTCTGCAAGGGTTCCGCACCGATACTCCAATACGCAGTGATTTCTCAGATACTGCCATGGCGGAGATTCTCGGCATCGCCGCGGCTGCTCTCCAACTGACAGAACTGGCCGTCAGGATTTTGTCAGAGGGGTATGCTTTTCTTAACAAGGCCGTTGGCGCCCCGACGGAAATCCGACAGCTCCTTACGGAAACCGCAGCTTTGGACTGTCTTTTGAGTCGCTTGCGAGACCTAAGCAAATCGACCAACTCGAGTTCGGCTCATGAGAATGCTCTTCTTCGATTGAAAGAGATTGGAGTATTTGATGAATGTCATAATCTACTAGCTTCGATCAACCAGACCCTAGCATCACTGAGAAAAGAGGACGGCGAACGAGTCAGAAACATAGCCAAGAGATTGGCATGGCCACTTCATGCGCAGAAGGCAGTTCAAGAGTCTTTGAATAGTCTCCGGCGAATGAAAGAAACTCTTTCCACTGCCCTGGAAACCAATATGGCGTGAGATATACATCCTAGATATCAATAATGATGCTAACCAGATAACCCCACGAGTTGCCGTCGACAGAATCGAGGCCAAAGTCAACCAAACGGATTGGCAGAGAGTGTTTTCTTGGGTTTGTCCAGTGACACATCTGCAAACACAAGATACCCTGCAAGACCTTTTGGGTCGACGACATCCTGGGACTGGGACTTGGCTCGTCGAATCTAAGGAATTCACAAACTGGGTGAATGACTAGTCAGAGGAGCTGCTATGGATCACCGGTCTTTGTAAGCTTTCCATCAGATTATGAACCTGAATCGTGAAAAGGAAATAACATATCAACAAGCGGGAGCCGGAAAATCCGTTCTATGGTCAGTTGTAACGGCCATGAATAATTGCATAGCTGACATATAGCCCAGTGCCACGGCCGTTGAGGCCCTACCAGCCCTAATATCATCAACTAATGGAATTATGGTTTACTTTTTCGGCAGTTTCGAAGAAAAGGAAAAAGCTACTCTCCATTTCCTCACGAGTATTGCCGCTCAATTTGTTTCACGCTCGCAAAGGTGTTTTAATACCGCCTCGGAAAGGCAAAAGAGTAAAAAGGGCTTTTCGCTAACAATAAGCGATTATGTAAATCTCGTTGAGTCCTTCATGGGCAATTACGATCAGGTTGTTATCGTTGTGGATGCTCTTGATGAGGTTGAAGGGATGCAGCAACAAGAGAAAGAAGCCTTTGTTGCAGTTTTACGTCAATTCATGGGAATGCAAGGTGGATCAACTATCACTGACCATCGGGAACCAACACTGGGCCGACAGAAAGGTATCGGTAGGAAGATTATGATCACGAGTCGAGAGGATGCCTATATTCGGACGAGTCTTGCACATGAGTGCAAATTTATATCATGGAACCTGGACTCGCAGCACCTCCTACGTGCGGACCTCGAGCAGTTCGTGTCGGCTGAGCTGCAAGAGAGGATGAAGTCAAACAGGATTTGTCTCAGAGACCCGAAGCTCGTGCCAATTATCAAAGATCAAGTCCTTCAAACGACTGGAACGTAAGTACGGCACGATGCTGCATTTTCCTCTCGCGCACGACTAACAATCTTCCATCTGACTTAGTTTCCTCCAAGCCAACCTTCAGCTGGACTACATCACGGCAACGAGAACTGATCGAGAGGTATGACGGGCTTTAAAAAGCCTCCCTAATGGTCTCAATGCCACGTACGAGCAAATTCTTGGTTCTGCCCTTCAAAAATACCCACAACGCCAGTCCGAGCTGAAGGATATTTTGCAATGGCTCGCCATCAGTTTGATACCACTTTCAGTGGAGAACGTGGCTGAAATAACGTCCATTGACCCAGACGACACTGCCCTGGACTTCGAAGCAATCGTTACTGACTCTTATGACGTTGTTGCGCCACTCGTGCAATTGGTATCGTATTACCAGACCTCGCGACATCGTTCGCACGCCGCGACGATCGTACAGATGCATCACGCAACGGTCAGAGAATTCCTCACTGGATCTGACATCTTGACCACCTCGGCATCCATCTTTCATTTCAGCGAAGTTGAGGCGCATGCGCTCGCAGCGGAAAGATGTCTTCAATACCTCGCATTCTCTGATTTTGATCGCGAGATACCCGAGAATTACACAGAATTTGAGGCTTTCCTCAAGCAGTACTCCTTCCTGTACTACGCCGCTACGAACTGGGCAACGCATTTGCGGCTGTGTAGCTCGTCCTCTGGCAAGACGGATATGGAGAGGTTCTATCGGCACATGCAATGGTTTTTGGACCCCGCCCAAAGCCCGCGCAAGTACAAAATATGGCAATATGTTCTGGAAGAAAGTCCAAGCATGGATGCCACCCGTTACAGCGGCAACCCCATCACTTATGCAATCGCGAACGATCTCCACGTCGTGGTAGATGCATTGCTCCCCACCGTGGAGGATATAAACGGATACCTTTCCGACGGGAGTACCTGCCTCATTTTTGCGGCAATGGTGGGCGATGTCGAACTCGCGCGCCGTCTCCTGAACATGGGGGCCAAAGTCGACGTTCCTGATAGGGTGAGGCTTCTGACGCCTCTGCACGTTGCTGCAGAGGAGGGAAACGAAGAAATGGTTGAGTTCCTGCTGGAGCATGGAGCATCACCGTTCGCTCGCAGTGACACCGGCACAACACCATTTTACAGAGCTGCAGGGAGCGGATGCACGAAGACACTCAGGTTGCTATACAACGCAGGCAGTGAAGTTGATGCAGAGACATGGGACACATGGACGCCTTTGATGGAAGCGGTTGAGAGTGACCACTATGAGGCGGCTCAATTACTCTTCTCTTGGGGTGCTGACGCTGGGAACTTATCGAAGTTTGGTTTTACGCCCCTGGATTTTGCATCAAATAATCTGGCACCTCTTATTGTCGACGCCGGGGGTGGCCCAGGGGTGGATAGAAGTGACGAGCGTCAGGAAGCAATTAATTACGCGCGGGGAAGATCGTGAGCCGTGGCCGCGGCTAGAATCGGCTGATCAAATCCTACAGACGAGAGCACGGCATTTGCTTCGAGACACTCGGCTATTCAAGCTGACTTTTCGTGGTAGAGAAGATTCTTGAATAAGCTGGCCAGAACACGACTGAAAGTTTAGTCAAGCACCACATTGTTCGTAAACTTGGTATTGTGCAGGCTGAAATCACTCCACGCAAAGTTGTGCGTGACCCCGCTGATATCATACATGGAGAGACCAAGCACATTCGGAGTGTGACGTCATCATCACGCGAACCCAGCGCTCGTCTCATGTACTTAACAGGAAATGGGAATCCCCCAAGAAAGGCGATTGTGCGTATTTCACAGTTCTGACTTATTTCCAAAATCAAAGCCAGTAACGACAAATTCGCCATGAACATTGACATCCCGGATCTGGTCAAGAAGGCGGTGCCGGAATCAGAAGGTCGCAACGCGCGCATCGTCTCCGATAATTGGACCCGCTCCAACTACAGAGATGTCAACTTTCTATCATCGGGCTTTCCTCGCTCGCGGCCAAAGCTATACATAACTGCAGAGAGTGACGAGTTCGATGAGTTGACCCTAGCTGAATGGCGCGATGAGGGCTTCGAAGTCGAATATCTGCCCATGGGGGACCCAAAGAAGTATCGGGGCAAGCTCCGATCTTTGAGTAAAAAGAAGATGGATCCATGCCAGACATTTGGCATCGTCGGTCAGTGAACCAGTATGGCGCATATCATGATATAAACATGCTAATAATGAGCAGCGTACGGTGATGCCGCTGCTGTGTGCCTGGAGCATTACCACGTTCTGGACAACAACCCGGAGTTCAAACTCGGGCTGCTAATCGCGTACTATCCGACGGCTATCCCAGACCCTCAAGGGCACTTTCCCAGCAGCATCTCGGCTCTCGTTCATCTTGCCGCAGATGAGGAGATTGGCATCACGAAGCGATCCCAGATGGTTGGGATTCAAGGGAAAAGGCGAACCACGCGAAAGAAGGTGGAAAGCGGCATTGGCACTGGAGGAACTTTGAAGCTGGCGTACCCAACCTACACGTACGACGCCGCGCCTGGTTTCGCCGAGCATGACCTTGACGACTTCGACAAAATCTGTGCCGAGTTAGCATGGAGCCGGAGCTTGACCGCGGCAAGAAAGGCCTTCAATAATTATGCGGACCTAGAACTCGTGTTGGAGGAAAACGTACAGGGTCAGTATCTAAGGGAAAAGAGAGGAGTGGACCAAGCTGACTCGCACAGGTAAATTCTTCACCCGAAACCTGAACCAAACGCTTTCATCGTACACAACACACAAGAGCCCACACGTTACTCATATCCCGACTTTGACGGGAGGAATTGGGTCATCAGAGCTCGAGCGTTTCTACTCTCAGTTTTTCAGCAACCCCCCGTCGATGAGACTGACCTTGATTTCCCGCACTATTGGGGCTGATCGAGTTGTCGACGAGGTTCATGTCCGCTTCAAGCACACCGAGGAGATGCCTTGGATCTTGCCCGGTGTCCCTGCTACGAACAAAAGGGTCGAGGTCCTCGTGGTCAGCATCGTGGGATTGAGGGGAGGCAAGATTTACCACGAGCATGTGTATTGGGACCAGGCTAGTGTTCTGGTGCAAGTTGGCTTGTTAGATCCGAATCTAGTACCCGAAGAAGCGCGTAAGAGCGGAGTGCAAAGGCTACCCGTTGTCGGGAGAGATGCGGCAAGACGGGTTCTGAAGGGTTGGGACCTTGGAGAGGAAGGAGAAGCTGATAACGAGCTGATACCTGGCTGGGATGAGGGCGAATCCGGAGACGAGAAGGATGAAGAGAGGACGACCGAGGAGAGTGGACAACTAAAGAATGGCGAACCATCTAAGAGCAGCGAGCAGCCAAAAGACAACGAACAACCAAAGGATACCCAACGACCAAATGACACTCAACAGTCTAAGGGTAGCGAAAAGCCGAAGGGTAGCGAGAAACCAAAAGGCAGGAAGAAGCCAAAGGGCGTCGGGCAATCCAAGGACGTTGAACAGCCTAAGGATAACGAAGGACCGAAGCATAGTGAAGAACCAAAGAATATCGAACAACCCAAGGACGCTGAAGGACTTAAGGATATTGGACAACCGAAGGAAAGCGAAAAGCCCACGGACATCGAAGGATCCAAAGACACCGAAGGACCCAAGGATGACCTAAGCGAAACAACTTTGCCGCAACGAGAAAAGCCTTCCACAGCAGATACTACCAGCGCGTAATACTGGATAAGAGACGATGGATAATGGCAGTTCATGAACATTCGATCTGGATGAAAATAAAATGTAATGCAGACAGCGACCGAGGAAGTCTCAGATTGCCATCATTTTCTTACAGTCTCATGGAAATAATTAAAATCCTACTTGGCTTTCGCCAGGCAATGTAACTAGAACGTTCTCGAGAGGCAATGAACTTGACTTTATCTACCACTTAAAACATTTCAACCTGTATACATGCGCTGGAAGCTGGACATACAATTTAAACAAAGAAACGTTAAGTGGATGGAGGAGCATCCCAACTCGCGATAAACTGCCATCATTAAACACTGAACTCATTCCTCAGCCACTCCTCGACCCTTGAGTCTGTATCTGAGTAGATCTTTGTCTTGGACGAGTGCCCATGCTTTCGATCCCAGACAAAGGTAGTGTTTCCAGATCGAAGATTTGGAAGTCGCATCTCAATCTTCTTGGAATCCACATCGATGATTGCCGGAATTGAGAATCCTGCCAGCTTAGCAGCAGCGACGTCAAAGTCTTCAGAGTCAGACGTAGTGTCGGACGTGGAAGCGTCGCTAGACTGGACATCATTCGCGGCTACATTGACTGGATATCGAGGCGTGTAGTCGTACGCAGGTTGCATGGGAGGATTTACGACGGGGCGGTAGTAGAAGAATGGCGGCTCTGCCGTCAATTGTGGATAGGCGTATGTTTGCAAAGGCGTGGATGTGGCATATTCCCACTGCATTTGACCTGAAAGTCCTCTGTTAGCTGGTGCCATAAATACATGTACGCCATGTAAATGAGGACACACCTGTTGCTGTTACGCGATTTCTGAAGTAAAACCCCCTATCTTCACTATCAAGAGTCCAGGCAGACCACGGGCCCGCAACTGGGGCCACGTACGGCGTTGCTGCTGGTGCGGCAGGTTTGGGATTTGCCGGCGGCGGAGGAGGCTTTGAAGGAGTATCTTCTTGAGCCGTTTTAACTGCATGCTTTCGATGATGGCTGTGACGTGGCGCCATATTTGCTCAAAGGCAGTGGCAGGCACTGAAGTCTGATCCGGTTAGAGATTGAGGTCGTTCAATTGAGGTCGTTCAATTGAGGTCTATGCTATGAAAGGAAATGGCGCGAGGAAGACTAAGGTTCTTTTGAAAGATCACAAATGCAGCGGATCGCGGGGATTAAGCATTAAATATTTACCACGCTACTACTGCCCGCGTCATTATGCCTTGGTTGGGGGCCGAAGAATTGGAAAATGTCACTTTGGAATTGACATGTATGAGACCCCCGTCGTTGGCCACGGAGGGTCGCGTTATTGAACGGTAAGGCAGCCATGCCCGAACCATGGGCAGCAATCAACACTGCCTTGCTAGACCAGATCGACGCTGCCATTGGCAAATCACGCTAGTTTGTCTCGGACCCTGTATTGATCTCAACAATTCTAGACTTCCCATGTGAGTGTGGCTAGCAAAACGCGAACAGGAAGTTGCATATTGGGGTAGGCATCGCAGACACTGCCTGCCTGATCGTGCATGGCTGGTGTGTTGGAATCATATTTCATTCGCACCAGCCATTCCGAGTCATTCCAGCCTAAACAGAAATCGTCATATGACCGGAAGTGACAGATGGCACAACACCGGGCCGAGTCGGATGCTGTGCTTATGGGGATTTATAGTTATTGCGGCCTGCAGTTGAGCATTACACCGAGGTAAGCCGGACCCTCGAACGAATGGGGCTTATGCTTACCCGATGGCGGACTACAGACGCCTGGCTGCCCAATTCTGCATGCACAAAGTCGCCTGACATGACTGCATAAAGCGCGTCTCTTTGGGTCATCGGTTACTACACCCGCGAGTTGTCTGTAGAGTTGTGTCGCACCCACAATTATGCATTTTACATCAGATCTGGGCTTCCCAGGCACCGAGGGTCGTCGATCGCCGCAGGCCGCATCGACAGTTGAGCACGTGTTCGGAGGTCGGCGCGTTTTCCGGGCATGTCATCATTGAGCAGTGCAGACTTGTCCGGGGTGAAGTTTGGGACCTCATGAACGCTTGGTAGAACGTCTGGTCATGATTTATCACAAAGGGCTTTTTTGACGGAGGACCAGTACGAGACCATGTGTCGACAAATCGACCTTCAGGCACTAAAAGTAGTCTTAAAAGACCACTGAAGGTTTAAGCTCGGCGACGAGCGGGTGTTGTCTTTGAATGGTCTTGTAGAAGGAGCTGATAGATAATATTGTAGTTAGAGCGAAGAGTCCCGCTTTTCCCTGTTCCTAGAATGGCAACTTCTTCTACGAGATGGAACGGGCAACTGAGAGGTAGCGAAGTCAACTTACCGCTGTTGAGTCAGTGTCTTAATTGCATATTCTCGTAAATTCTTTCGTTGTCGACGATTGAAACGGAACCCGAAGTTCTGAAGTTCCATAACTCCGATCAAAGGTTGAAACAAGGATCCTGAAATGACACCTAGTAGGTCAGTTTAGGATTTCAACGACGAGGCTTTTCCGATGGACCTAACGTAGCTTAGACTGTGCTTCTCTCTGAAAGAGTGTGTCTGGGTTAGAATCTCCCTGGCATGGTGGGCTGTCTCCGAGATCGCTCCGGCGTCCCGAATCTGGTCTCCGACGCCTATCGCCATCCCCACGTATTCCCTCCGGCACATGCCTTCGTTTTATGCCTGACAGGCAGCCACGCATATTTTGAAGCAAATGAGATGAACCCCGCGGTCGAAAAATCATGAGCTGGCCGTTGTTGTCATCCCGTGCTATCTTTGCTGATTGCGGCTTATCGACACCCAAAACACTAAGAGTTGGCCCTTCCGCCTCCTCCACCCCCACCCCCATTTTCACTACACACGCACTAATCCAGTGGCCATGAAGCCTCTTCCCCACCCCACGACAGGTGCACCTACTCAGCCTTGGGATGGCTTACAGTTCCTGGGTCATGGACTTAAAGAAACAGTGGTCTTCAGATCCCAAGACTTGGTGAACAGACAGGATGAACGCTGCGTGTCCATAATTCTTGTTCCAATCACGAACCCAGCATCTGCAACGGCCTACAGAGCCTCCAAAAGCTTACCCACTTATTCCAACTTCAATCTTCAACATGTGGCGCTACCTAGGGTTCTCATCAGGGACGGAAAACGCCAAGCCTGAACCTTCCCGAAGCCTCCCAGCTTCTTGGTACCGATCTCCTGAACTGCACCAACTTGAGCGACGAGCCATCATCTCCAAAAAGTGGATCTTGGTCACGCACTCCCTGCGATTCAAGCAAGCGGGCGACTATGTGTCATTCAACTACGCCGACTTCCCCTTCTTTCTCATCCAAGACCGAGAAGGAAACATTAACGGCTTCCACAATGTTTGCCGACACCGTGCATACCCTGTTATTGAAAACAAGACCGGGAAAGCTAGCATCTTGAGCTGCAAATATCACGGCTGGTCGTATGGGTTCAAAGGCAACCTTGCCAAAGCCCCGCGCTTCGACACAGTGAGAGGGTTCGACAAGAATCAGCATGGCCTTCTACCCATAAACGTTCGGATTGATCCTGCCGGATTCATCTGGGTGAATCTTCAAGCAGGAGAGCCTGATGTGAAGTGGGAGGATGAATTTGGTGGCGTATACCAGAAGCCGAGGATGCAGAACTTCGACTTTGCGGGTGGCTACAACTATGACCATGTATGGGAAATGGAACTCGACGCAAACTGGAAGACGGTGATCGAGAACTACAACGAATGTTACCACTGTCCAACATCACACCCCTTGATTGCCGGCGTCTCAGACCTGACGAAGTACAAAGTCGAGCCCAGCGGGGGCTGTTTGGAGCATGAAATCATCAACAAAAAGGCGCAAGAAGAAGAGGACGAGTTCAGGAGGTCCATTACTTTCTTCTTCCCTTCGACATCAGTAACGATCACGTAAGTTTGCTCCCGGGACTTTGACTGCATGAGAAACCACATTGACCTTGACCGTAGTTCGAACTTCTTCTACATCCAACGAATGATTCCCGTCAGCGCCACAAAGACAAGGATTGAGAATGAAGTCTACCGGCACCATAACGCTGGCGACGAGGAGTTTGCTGCTATCAACGCTTTCTACAAACAGGTGCTGGAAGAAGATAAGCAACTCTGCATTGGAGCTCAGGAAAACCTCAGTGCAGGTGTGTTCATCAACGGCGAGCTACATCCCGAAAAGGAGAAGGTATGTCGACGATTATCTTTCTTGATTTGCGTGGTCTTCTAAGATGAGTACAGGGCCCTATTCACTTTCAGAACACCTTGCGAGAAGAGGTCATGGCGCACCGAAAGAAGGAGTTGGACCAAGGAGGTAGGGAAATCTGGCCGGCAACGCCGAAGTTGTTTGGGGAGATGAACACGAACAAGCTGAGTGAAGAAGAGACTTTCTGTTCAGAGCTTGAGAAGGTAGCGTGCGCGGCAAGGCAGGAACTGGCTTGGTGATGGAGTTGGTGGGTCGTGAGCAACATGTAATCACTACGGTATTAGACGGTAGCAACAAGCGTTGGAATTCTTCAAATTTGTACAATCGCAGATTGATCTTACTTGTCAAACTATCTATGGGAAGTCTTTTTGTGTTTTGACATTCCGAACAGGGAATTCTTGGAACTGAAGTTTCTCCCTTGATGATTTAGTCGTTGTCTTGTTTGTACAAAACATTGAAAGTTACGTTGTGATGGCGTCTCCAGGATATCGCGAGTATGCCGACAGCCGAAGCGACAGCCGACTCTTGTCCGGCCGCCGACCATGCCCTCTTGGCAAGTGACAAGCCTTCGCCTTTGATATCGAAATTTACGTGGATGTCATCAACATGTGAGACATGTGGCTTGGGAGCTATTCTGGGTTGCACATGCCATTGTTATCTTGGGCCGCATCTTATCGTTCTCCGGCGTGAGGGGAAAGTGGGTGCCAGGGGGTGACACGGGAGGACCGACAACGGAAGTGAATCCATGCACAACATCGGCCACCCTACGCCACTTATCGTCCC